CATTCAAAAACTATACAAAAACAAATCAGCGACCAATATAGCCACCTTTCTTTGCAAGGACACTCAAAAGCCTGCCATCCATGGATTCTGTCAGTGTTTTGATCTGTTCACCATCAACATTGCGTGCAGCAGCAACCACAGCCTCCCAGACACTGTTCAGAGAGGTGTACCGTTTTCCCTCCTTGTAAGTCTCACATTTGATGATGGACCACAGGTTCTCAATGGGGTTCAGGTGAACAAGGAGGCCATGTCATTAGTTTTTCTTCTTTTATACCCTTTCTTGCCAGTCACGCTGTGGAGTACTTGGACGCGTGTGATGGAGCATCGTCCTGCATGAAAATCATGTTTTTCTTGAAGGATGCAGACTTCTTCCTGTACCACTGCTTGAAGAAGGTATCTTCCAGAAACTGGCAGTAGGACTGGGAGTTGAGCTCGACTCCATCCTCAACCCGAAAAGGCCCCTCAAGCTCATCTTTGATGATACCAGCCCAAACCAGTACTCCACCTCCACCTTGCTGGCGTCTGAGTCGGACTGGATCTCTCTGCCCTTTACCAATCCAGCCACGGGCCCATCCATCTGGTCCATCAAGACTCATTCTCATTTCATCAGTCCATAAAACCTTAGAAAAATCAGTCTTGAGATATTTCTTGGCCCAGTCTTGACGTTTCAGCTTGTGTGTCTTGTTCAGTGGTGGTCGTCTTTCAGCCTTTCTTACCTTGGCCATGTTTCTGAGTATTGCACACCTTGTGCTTTTGGGAACTCCAGTGATGTTGCAGCTCTGAAATATGGCCAAACTGGTGGCAAGTGGCATCTTGGCAGCTGCACGCTTGACTTTTCATGGGCAGTAATTTTGCGCCTTGGTTTGTCCACACGCTTCTTGTGACCCTGTTGACTATTTTGAATGAAACGCTTGATTGTTCGATGATCACGCTTCAGAAGCTTTGCAATTTTAAGACTGCTGCATCCCTCTGCAAGATATCTCACTATTTTTGACTTTTCTGAGCCTGTCAAGTCCTTCTTTTGACCCATTTTGCCAAAGGAAAGGAAGTTGCCTAATAATTATGCGCACCTGATATAGGGTGTTGATGTCATTAGACCACACCCCTTCTCATTACAGAGATGCACATCACCTAATATGCTTAATTGGTAGTAGGCTTTCGAGCCTATACAGCTTGGAGTAAGACAACATGCATGAAGAGGATGATGTGGACAAAATACTCAATTGCCTAATAATTCTGCACTCCCTGTATTACGATTTAGTTACCTGAGGTACCTGACGTTTTGGTGTAACATCACCAAATGGACTGATTTTGAGATCCCACAGTTCAGATGCATGGCCAGAGCAAATAACCCTGGCTACATACATTCTGCTGTATTTTACCCTAACAGGAGATGGAATGTCTTCATGCAAGCTCTTTAATCACATGATTTCATCTGCTGAACTGAAGCTTCATCAGATAATGAAAGATGACAGTAGCATTCTTTCCCCAAGGTTCTGCACAAAACTCTGTAAAATAAACTTTTATTCCCAGAAGAAAAGAAGATTTCATAACTAAAGTAATAATTTTATATTTCAGAATAATCCTTGAAGAAAAGAAGATCTTACAGTTATCACTAAATATTGCCATGTATAATTATAAATGATGAAATGTTTCATGAATCTGTTCAATGATGCTAAGTATGTTTACTGGATTAGATCACTCGCACCAGACAAGAAGTAAGGCTAAATTAAGAAGCATTGCACATAAACTAACCTTGTTTCGCAGACTGTGCGGCTCTGCATCACAGAGTGTGCGTTCTGAGAATTCTTGATAACTTTGGTAATAGATAAACAGCAGGCTATAAAACCAGCCGCTCTGCTTCTCCTCTGTTCAGTCCGAACATCCGACAGAATGAGAGTTCGGAGAGCAAGCGGAGGCCGGCCACCTCTTAGCAGATCTCTAACTCAAAGGAAGGAGTTTGGCACACTGTCAAAACCCTTAAACATTTGCACCTGCAAAGCCGAGGACAACGAGAGATTTTTTCCAGCAGATCAAAGCTGATTTTGCAACACTCCTTCAGAGTGGTTTTGAGACACTTGGTTTCATCCAGTCCACCTGTGTTACCTGGAGCGATCCTGGACCGACCTGGTCATACTAGGAGTTAGTCTACGGACTTCTGTACCCGGGGTCTCCAACCCCCTGACATCTCGGATCCGCAAGGGCGTCTCCTCTTGGGTACATAGAACACACTGAGACAGCATCTGTATGCAGTTTGATAAGAACAGCTTACAGCTCAGACGCAAACCAAATTCTTTTATTTTCCAGAACTCACCTCTCTCTGAGATGCGGAGACTTTGACTCTGAAATACTATATTCACACCTAGTTCCAGACACCCGTCTCTTATTTCGCATCCACTCACAGTAAATAATAGTTAAACCATTTATTAAGGTTTAAAATTGTTTGTAAAATAAATTCTTATTTGTTTGCAAACACTAACTGGTTCTTGTATCAAAGCGAAGTGTGACGATCCCTTAATAATTAAAAGAATCCTAGAACCTTCTAATTAATCATCCTAAGACCAAGCAAGGTGATATTCTATAATAATAGAGTATTACAGCTATGGGTCACAAGTAATGACAATAAAAATAAATAGCTCTTAAGCAATTTATTGAATCCAATTTACCCTCTATTAACGTCATTACTTTGCAGCTGCTTTCATCCAAATACACTAACAAGTGAGCAACAATAATCAAGCTTCAGTAAAGTAACTTAGTGATTAGTTAACTGACATCCCATCAGGGCAAAATGGGATGTTTGGGGACTCATGAGAAGCAGAAGAGTCCTTTTTTCAAGCAACTGTTTTTAGGCTGGAAATTTTAGCCACCCCCAGTCACTCGGAGGCATCAACACCCAGACTATTTGACAGGCTAACCCAGCAGAAAAAGCAGTGGAGCTGTGGCCTCTTTGTCGGCTCCAGAGAACGGAGCTGACAAACAAAAAATATATGTTCCCTGGGGGGGGCACTGCTCTAGAAGAAGTTGTAAAGTCGAAAGCAGCATGCTATCATTACAGATATGCATGCTGCTCAAGGGTGTTAATATTGCTGGGGACAATAACCATATGGTTGACTGTGGCTTGAAGATTGCTAGGGACAATTTTTAAATATTCATAAACAAGTATTCCTCCATTTGAAGCTTCATTAAAATACACTCTGCAGTGCATTGGCATGTGTATCTATTCAGTGTATAAAAGGTAAAAGCTGGGATTTGAACCAGCAACCCTACTGGCAAACTCGCCCTTAATTTCACAGAAAAATACCAGAAAAATTTGCTTACCCAAGCAGGCATCATCAGAACCAAGCTAGTATCATGTATAAACAAAGTAATTGGGATTTTCACATTTTACAACAATAAACAAACATCAATGGCTCAGAGGTTAGCAGTTCATCCTGTAATCAATGGGTTGCAGGTACGAATCCAAACTCCCACAGTCATGTCAGTTGTTGTCAAATGTCCTTGGGCAAGACATTTCACCCTCCCTGCCTGCTAATGATGGTCCGAGGTACTGGTGGCACCTGTACTCGGCAGCCTCTGTCAGTGCACCCCAGAGCAGCTGTAGCTACATTATAGCTCATCACCATCAGCGTGTAAATATTTATTTATGTATTTATGTATTTATTTATTTATTTTTCTTACCAAATTAAAAGTGATAGAAAGATACACCATTTTACTAGAGAATAAAAAATGGTTCTGGAACGAACTGACTTGCCAGCACCGGCATTGATCTAGGTCTTTCTGGTGGATGTAAGAGGGGATGAATGTGAGTCATTGCTGTAGAAATGCTTATTCATTGTTGTTTACTTATTTATTGCATATTCTTGTTGTTGAGAGACTACAGATGGAAACTAGCTACCTGGCTAAAATCTGGTACAGTGCATCTCTGACTCATGATGGTTAACCCTAACCATTACTGGTCCATTCCTAACCCTAACCAGTTACTTGTCATCATACCTCTAAAACCAAGTATTGTGGGTTGTTTTTTTTTTCACTGAGGGGACCAGCCAAAGTTCCCACAGTTTCTAACTGTCCCCATGTTACAGGTTAAATGGGAAAAACTGTCTACATACAAAGCACACATTCACACATACAGGTGCTGGTCATAAAATGAGAATATCACAACAAAATTGATTTATTTCAGTAATTCCATTCAAAAAGTGAGACTTGTGCAATTAGATTCATTCATTACACACAGACTGACACATTTCAAATGTTTATTTCTTCAGTTTTGATTATTATAAATCTCAGAATGGAATGATTAAAATAAATCACTTTTGTCATGATATTCTAATTTTATGAGCAACTGTACATCTACACAATAAAAAAAACACAAACACTGAGAATGTTTCCTTTTTTAAATGTTCTTACTTTAGGTGTGTGTTATTTCTTTCATTTTAAACCATTAAAGTTAGTGAAACTCTTTCTCCCAAACGCAGTCCAATGTGTTTGGCGTTTTCTAACCAAACAGCCCACAGTACAGATTGTACACTGGGGCTATCCTTGACATTTACCTGGGTCCTTAACTCTGATAGACCACACAGCCTCATCACAGGCTCAGATTTCTGTCATCACAGGCTCAGATTTCTGAAAAGCACATTTCTAAAACGGGTTTTAATGCCTGCAGGCTGCGAGACAGTGCTCAGACAGTCCTACTGGATATGTTTATTGCATTCAGACTGAGGCTAGAAGAATCTGTGCCACTCTGCAATCTTGTTAGCCAGATGTTTCTGTAAAGTTGCAGATGATAAAGTGTAGAAGTGTCATTCTAAAGTAAAAGAGCTGAATCTGTTTTCTGTAATGATAAGTTTGTTGAAGCATTAATCCTTATCATCACGTCAGTGGCTTTTCTAAAAGTCACCCTCCTCTCCTGTATTTTGTGTGTTTCTCTGTTTCGTGTTGATGTTTATTGATACTTTCATATTTGTGTGTGTGTGTGTGTGTGTGTGTGTGTGTGTGTACAGATTGGCTGAAATGGAGAACCAGAATTGTTCTTTCTTCACGGATAGCTTATCTCCTGATGAGAGCCTGTGAGTATGCAGCCACCCCTTCACAACAACCCGCTGATTACAACCCCTGAGTTATATGTGTGTGTGTGCGCGTGTATGTGGGTGTGTGTGTGAGCGCCCTTGGCCCCTGAGACACAGACTGTTTGTGTGTTTACGTGTGCGCTCAGGCTCACACGTGCATGCTGAACCGTTAGTGAGCGATTGAGTAATCACATTGATAATCAGCCACATAATGAGAATGACCCAGAGAGAGCAGCCCCCTTCATCGTCCACTCGCCTGCTTCTGTTTGTTTGTGTTTGCTGGAGCTAGCTGAGAGGGTGCAGCAGCCACAGGAATTAAGATGTTTTCACGTGAATGAGGCAATCACTCCTCATTGTAAAGCACTGAGTGACGAGAAAGAAAATGAGGTTTAGTGCTGTGTGAAAAGATGTCGGACTTGGTGGAGCTGTCAGATGCGTCTCAGGGTCGAGTCTTCGTGGCCAGCAGCTCTGAGCCTTCAGGGCTCCAGGTGTCTGTCTCACTGGGTGAACTGTGTTCATTATTTCATTTCAGATGAGTTTTATCTGTGGGGCAGGGTGCGACTGACACCACATCAAGAATCTGTTTTTAGGCTGTAACAAAACTTAGAAGCAAAAAATTAATTCTTTTTTACTGAGCCGTTTCATCTGCTGCTGATGGAGCGATGTCACAGAAAGTGTCTCAAGGCATTCGCAAGTTTGTCTATGTAGAATTACCCTCCCGACAGTGTGTTTGCATGCATGACGTCCCAGTATAGCGGCATAGCTTTCTGTTCTCGTGGTCTCGTTCTTTGTCTTCAGATGTCTCTCAGTGTCTCTATTGCCTCCATGCTTTCTCTCCTGCATGCCGCTGAGCTATCCGTGCCTCCAGCTGCTGTTTTTGTTTCTATCACACTGTTTTCTGTCCCGAACCATGCTGTCTACATGCATACCCCTCAACCTCTTCCTTTGTATATCACTCTGAGTTCGCCAGACTGACTGACAGGCAACAGACCTGGAAATGATTGAAGCTAACTCACTGAATGAATGAATTGTCAAAATGTTCCCAAAATACTGTAGCATGTTTTGAATTTTGCTCTAAAAATTGTCTTAATTATCGCACAAACATCCGTCAGTTTTTTTGCCTGCTCCAGTGATAGTTGCAAAATTATTCTGCAGATAATCCTTCATGTACAGATCACAAATGTTCAATTGCACGTGAAAACATGTTATTGGAACAAAACTAAAGCTGAAATTTCACCTAGCTGCAAACAGAGACAGAAGAGTGCAGGATAATCTGAGGATTTTCGGTTGAAATCACTCTAAAATGGTGCTTATGACACCTTTGATAAAAGCTTTTTAAGTGGATGAGTCACACGGGGCGTATAGTTACAAACAAATTGCATTATTTGTGCAAAATCTTCTCAGAGCTGAGTGTCCTATAATGTTTTCATTTGTTTGCAGTTTACTTTAATGTTTAATTGTGTGGGTTCTCTTTATAGATGTTTTTATAATGAGGAGTAAAGGGAAAAACAGAGGAGAAGGTCTAAGCTGTCAACTCTAAAAGGAACATCCCCGCTCTGAGTCTCACTTGAACTCCTTCAACAGTGGGATGTCAACTTCTAATCAACAACATCTCTGAGGAGAGTGAGGCATTGATCTGCATACAGAGATCCCTATATATTTCAGGACTTGTTTAGTCATTTAAAAGAAAAACATAAATAATTTGATGGAATTTGCATATCAACACTGAACAACTTGAATGAAAGTGATCAGAAAGAAGAAGATATATTGTACTGCCTGCCCTTTTATACAAACCAAAATGGGCATCATTACATTCCCATAGTTTCAAACTTAAACACATTCATTTTATCAACTTCCCGATTAGATTTTCTAACTATGACACTTTCATAATTAATACAATTTATGAGTATAATGAGTGACCGTACACTTTTTTGTTCTAAATGTAGGGTTATTTTAAGACATTGTACTTCTTTCCGATTACAATGTCCAACTCTTTTCGCGAACATTGTCTGAATATTTGTTGGACAAGCAAGGCAGCTTTGTTTGTTCAGCGCATTTCATACACAGAAGCAATTCAGTGTGCTTTCCAGGTTCAAGATCAGCAAGACCATAAAACGTTAAAATCAACATGACAACATAAAACTGCAGATTTTAAAATCAAAAATTTAAATGCAGAAGTAAAATTAGATGTATGAATGAGATAAAATACTAAATTAAAGGGGGAGCAGTTATAGTGCAGAAGGTGCAGCACAAGAAACAATCATTCACAGGCTAATGAATACATGAAGGTTTTCAATTTTGACTAAAAAGTTAGAGTTGGGGCATGTTTGAGGTCATAATGAAGCTGAGTCCATCTGTGAGCAGCGTAGTAGCTAAAAGCAGCTTCACCCTGTTTGGTTCTGACCCGAGGTTCTTCCAGCTGACTGCTTCCTAAGGATCTCAGAGCTCTGCTGGGCGTAGATACCTGAAGGAGATCCGACATGTATTCTGGTCCCATGGCATTGAGTGATTTATAAACTAGTAGAAGTACTTTGAAAAACTTACAAGATTCATGCCGGGTTGCCAAGCCGGACCCCGGACCCCGGACCCCGTTTGGTTCTAATACAGGCTAAAGCCATGACATTTCAGGATTTCATAAAATGTCAGGGAATTAAATTCTACTATCAAATCCTAAACGGTCATACTTCATCGGACCTAAAGGCATTGATTCCTAGGCGCAGTTTAAGTTCTGTGCGAGTTACTAGGTCCGCCACTAGTGAACTTTTGCCGCTATCTGCCGTTAGAAATTCTTACGACCAGAGGTCGTTCTTTTATGCGTGGACTAAAGTTTGGAATGAAACTCCACATGACATAAGGACAGCGCCAACATTACCTCAATTCAAAAGGAAATTCATCTCTCATCTGTTGGACTGTTTCTCCTGTAAACACTGTTGAAGGTCCAGACGAGATGAGGAGTTACAACTTTCTGCCTTTTTTGGATCATGAGTGTTTGTATGATTGCTTTGTGCTGTTTTTGTATGTATGCTTGTGAGGTTGCAGTTTGATGTTCTGCAGAACAGGAGCCTGCTAAAAAAAAACAACGTTTTAAACTGAGTCAGGCCCGATTGTTTTTAATCTTTTTCTGTTTAATAAAGTTTTGAAATGAATTTAAATGAAAATGGATTTTGTAGTTTACTGGTAGCAAGTGTAGAGATTTAAGAACAGGAGTGATGTGCTTGGTTCTCTTGGTTCTTGTAAAGACTCTAGCAGCAGCATTCTGAATGAGCTGCAGTTGCTTCACAGCTTTTTGGGGAAGACCAGTCAAACGACCATTGCAATAGTCCAGCCTGCTGGAAATGAACACATGAATGAGTTTCTCTAGGTCTCGTCTGGACATGAGACCCCTGAGTCGTGCTATTCAATGCAGATGATAAAACGCTGATCTATTTATAGCCCTAATGTGACCAGTGAAGCTCAGGTCTGAATCAATTATGACACCAAGATTTCTGACTTCTGTCTTTTATTAGCGTTGTTCATTGGCTGCATGGTGGCGCAGTGGTTAGCACTGTTGCCTCGCAGCACAAAGGTTGCAGGTTCGAAACTCCGCTCGGCTGCGGACTTTCTGCGTGGAGTTGCGTGTTCTCCCCATGCATGCGTGGGTTTCCTCCGGGTACTCCGGTTTCCCCCACAGATCACAACATGCCCTATAGGTTATAAATTGTAAGTCACTTTGGATAAAAGCGTCTGCTGAATGAATAAACATAAACATAAACATTGTTTGCAATATTTTAAAATCAACTAAATCACAACATTTCGATACTTTATGTTTGATAAATAATGAGTTGGAGGGATCTTTATAGTGACTGTCATTAATGATTCTCAAAGCTCATTTACAGTGGGGCAAAAAAGTATTTAGTCAGCCATCGATTGTGCAAGTTCTCCCACTTAAAATGATGACAGAGGTCAGTAATTTTCATCATAGGTACACTTCAACTGTGAGAGACAGAATGTGGAAAGAAATCCATGAATTCACATGGCAGGATTTTTAAAGATTTTATTTGTAAATCAGGGGGGAAAATAAGTATTTGGTCACTTCAAACAAGGAAAATCTCTGGCTCTCACAGACCTGTAACGTCTTCTTTAAGAAGCTTTTCTGTCCTCCACTCGTTACCTGTATTAACGGCACCTGTTTGAACTCATTATCTGTATAAAAGACACCTGTCCACAGCCTCAAACAGTCAGACTCCAAACTCCACTATGGCCAAGACCAAAGAGCTTTCGAAGGACACCAGGAAAAGAATTGTAGACCTGCACCAGACTGGGATGAGTGAATCTACAATAGGCAAGCAGCTTGGTGTGAAAAAATCAACTGTGGGAGCAATTATCAGAAAATGGAAGACATACAAGACCACTGATAATCTCCCTCGATCTGGGGCTCCACACAAGATCTCATCCCGTGGGGTTAAAATGATCATGAGAACGGTGAGCAAGAATCCCAGAACCACACGGGGGACCTGGTGAATGACCTGCAGAGAGCTGGGACCACAGTAACAAAGGTCACCATCAGTAACACACTACAACGGCAGGGAATCAAATCCTGCAGTGCCAGACGTGTTCCACTGCTGAAGCCAGTGCATGTCCAGGCCCGTCTGAAGTTTGCCAGAGAGCACATGGATGATACAGCAGAGGATTGGGAGAATGTCATGTGGTCAGATGAAACCAAAGTAGAACTTTTTGGTATAAACTCAACTCATCGTGTTTGGAGGAAGAAGAATACTGAGCTGCATCCCAAGAACACCATACCTACTGTGAAGCATGGGGGTGGGAACATCATGCTTTGGGGCTGTTTTTCTGCTAAGGAGACAGGACGACTGATCCGTGTTAAGGAAAGAATGAATGGGGCCATGTATCGTGAGATTCTGAGCCAAAACCTCCTTCTATCAGTGAGAGCTTTGAAGATGAAACGTGGCTGGGTCTTCCAACACGACAATGATCCCAAACACTCCGCCCGGGCAACAAAGGAGTGGCTCCGTAAGAAGCATTTGAAAGTCCTGGAGTGGCCTAGCCAGTCTCCAGACCTCAACCCCATAGAAAATCTGTGGAGGGAGTTGAAAGTCCGTGTTGCTCGTCGACAGCCCCAAAACATCACTGCTCTCGAGAAGATCTGCATGGAGGAATGGGCCAAAATACCAGCTACTGTGTGTGCAAACGTGGTAAAGACCTACAGTAATCGTTTGACCTCTGTTATTGCCAACAAAGGTTATGTTACAAAGTATTGAGTTGAATTTTTGTTATTGACCAAATACTTATTTTCCTCCCTGATTTACAAATAAATTCTTTAAAAATCCTGCCATGTGAATTCATGGATTATTTTTCACATTCTGTCTCTCACAGATGATGTGTACCTATGATGTAAATTACTGACCTCTGTCATCATTTTAAGTCGGAGAACTTGCACAATCGGTGGCTGACTAAATACTTTTTTGCCCCACTGTATGTAAATCAAACAAAGATTGAGTTTAGGTTCTAGTGTGTCCCCAGATTTCTAATCATTGAGTTATACAGAGCAGACAGCCCAGAACTACATAATAATAATAATTAACTTCATGTAATATGATTGATACGAAAAGGCTCCTCAGAAGAAAAGCAACACAAATGAGAGATCATTTTCCTTATCCCTAAACCTGTTACAATTGTTTTTATTTAGTCACAAACTCCTAAAATTTCCTCACATGTTATACTCAGAAACTAATTTGTTTCTATTTATTAATTTTTTAATTATATTTATATTTCAGAAAACATGAGAGCACAGCGCTGCAACTCCAAACACCCACAATTGCTTCCAGAAGTTTTAGAAACTCTTCTGCAAAAGCCTATTTACGCATTTCAGTAAATATTAATGTTTAAAATCATCTCACAGATGTTAGTTTCTCTGATATTTAAGCTGTCTTTACTTTAGCATTTTAAAGTCATAGTTTCTTATTCTTTAAATGATCCTTTATTCATTCAAGAGACCATAACCACCTCCTCCCACTCAACAGAAACTCTGAACAGACGTTGTTATGCAGCTGTAGCTCGGAGAGATGGACTAATTAAATATGTATTAAAATCGAAGGATGAGCCAACAAATTTATGCTACTAAATTCAACTTTTGATGGTAGAACGTGTTGTGAGTCACATGTTGCATTAGTTGGAGAAAAGTGAGAAAACTCCTTTAATAGGTCTTTTATTATGTGAATAAAGCTGCATCTGGAGATGTTTATGCCTGCACCCATAAATATCCACGAGGCGTAAAATCTGGTATTGAAATTCAAAGCCCTATAACTTTTTATATGTTTTCCAGTGCAGGCACAATCATTATTACCACACATGAGCTCAGCAATAACCATCTTTCTAATAGAGTGATCACCGGAAATTTACAGTTCTGTTTGTGGTTTAGCAGCCTGAGGTCTCCTATTAGAGATTTGTGTTTTTATCCCAATGTCAGGGTGATGTTTTTATTATTTTGGGCTGTTTACATTAGTATTGCATCCTCGGTTTTTATTAAACACTGGCGGTTTAATGGTCTGCTGAGCTGAGTTTGTTTAGTAGAATTTGGTATTTAGTGTTTGGGCTGTGAACCTGGCTCTGTGTGACTGTGTCCCATTTTGTTTGACTGTGTCATTTTGTGGAGCCCGTCCTCGTCTCGCTTGCCTTGCTTTGGCTTTGCTCTGCTGTTGGCTCTGCTTTGTGCTGCTGGTGGCTGTGTGCTGTGCTAGGGGCTCAGTGTGTTGTCTCCTGTGTGGGGGACTCAGGGATGAAGATCAGTACCTCCTGCGTCACTCCAGCCCCGCCCTGGACCACGATTCACCCTGCGGGCAGCACATGATGCTGGCCCACCTGGAGCATCAGGACAAGGAGCAGCTCCAGTGCACCCTGGCCCGGCTGGAGAACGAGAACAGGTTTGTATTCAGACATTTTCATTCTGTTTACCAGCTCAAATCTTTGTTGTCATGCAAAATAAACAAAAAACATATTTTGCTCACTTGAGTTGTAATGAGCTAAAAACGGATGAAAGGGTAACATCTAACTCAAAAATCTTAAGCAGCTGTGCTTGTTTGTTTGTTTGTTTGTACAATTGACAGGAGGTTAGATATAGATATACGTTAACTTTATTTAGTGATCCATACCAACACAAACATGTAGGAGTTTATTTGGAGCTTTTGCACTATTTTCAGAGAGCCTGCCATTTAAAAAGTCTCCTGCTGAGAGTAAACACTCTGCAGCTCTGCATCCTTTTGAACAGCCTCAGGACATAAGAAACACTCTCTGAATTCATAGCTGACAGCTAAGTGTGTAAAATACTGTGATAACATGAAACTGCTTGTAAATCTTGCTTCAGTTTGACAGCTTGTGCCCAACAGTCGAGGGAGGGAGGGGAAAAGCTCATTATGAACTGACTGGTGTGAAAAGCATGTCTGAAACTCAAGATATGAATGTTTTAATTTGAATTTATTTCCTTCAGGTTCAGCCATTTTTCATAAATGAAGCTAATTCGTTTTATCCTCTATCCCTTAATTTGTCACCAGAGGCATCCTTTATGCGAATGATTCATATGAATAATTTTCTCGGCCCATTTATGTCAGTGACCTTTTCCAAACCCACAGCAAAACACTGCCACACACACTCGTGGGCCTTTGGGGCAATGGAGGCTTAACCTTATTTAGTTTTTGCACAAAGTGTCTTGTTATGTATTTATGTGGCATCAACAATAAATCAGATTTTAAAACAAAACACACTCGGAAAACTATTTTCTGAGCCTTTCAAGTGGATATTCATAATCTCACTCGATTTTGGGAACCCAGTCTGAACTCTTTTTTTTATTTATTTTTTTACTTTTTGCAGGAATAAATTAGATTTTAAGAAGCAGTTATTTTATTAATTTGTTTAGAAAAAGTAAGCTTATTTCTTTATCTTTGTACAACTAAAATGTTTATTTTCTGTTTAGTTTATGAGTTTGCATAATCCAAATTTTTCATTTAATATAACTTATGTTTCAAACAGCAGCATTTGAGAAGTTTTATTGTTTTGTTTGGTTTTTCTTGGACTCAGACTCATTTTGAATCTCATGTGAGTATGTTGGACAGCAAAGGTTTACCACTGTGTTGCATCACCTTAACTCTTAACATCACTGAAAACATCTGAGGACCCAGGAAACCAGCTGCTGCGGTGTGGGAGCAGAGTCATTTCACAGTATTCTTCAAAACGTTTTTATAATTTCTGAGCCTCCATGTTTTTTTTTCACAACTCTACTGGTTTTCAGTTAGAAACAAACCGTTCTAACTAGAAATCAGTGTGCAGGGTGTGATTTTATGTTTACATCAATTAGATTGTTTTTATTGTGTCTGGCTGACCTGGATAAATACTTCTAGTTGTGTGGATGTTTTGCATCACGCATCAATTACCTGATTTTGTTCACCTGCCCTCCATGATGGGACCTCAGGGTGCTCCAGAGCGAATACAGGAGGCTCAAGTGGAAACACGAGGAGGCGGCGTCAGTGCCCATGCTGACGGAGGCTGGAGAGCCGGGGTCACCCACAGCAGGAGGGACGCAGGATGAGGAGCTCCTGGCTGAGGCGCGAGTCCTCCGTCAACACAAAACCCGCCTGGAGACCCGCATGCAGATCCTAGAGGACCACAACAAACAGCTGGAGTCCCAGCTGCGCAGGCTCAGGGAGCTGCTGCTACAGGTACAGCAGAGATGAGCTGCTCTGAACAGATAGTAGACACATCCATGATTCATTTGCTGCAAAAATTGTAATGAATGTTTAGTCTTGTGTTTTTTTCTTATTATTTAATTTCTGCTCTAACATTCAAACAAAAAGGACAAGCAGTTTTTTAAATATAGATTTTTTTTCTAATTATTTTTGACAGAATGATATTTTATTTTACAGGAATTTTAAAAATAGTCATTAAATTCTTGTGATATGTCATTAATAATAAGTTATAATAAATACATATTATAATAAATATCAAAAAGTGTTTATTATGCATCAATAAAGGATGGGAGACAAATCTGTTCATATATATTTATATATATCCATTCTATCCTAACACCAACTGCCGATAGACGAACAGTCGCCCAAGACTGCAAAGCCCGACACACACCAACCTGTGTACGGCCTGCACTGATTACAAGAAAGCATATAACTCAATACTGCACTCATGGATCATTGAATGCTTGGAGCTGTACAACATCAACAAGGCTCTGAGAGCCTTCATTGGGGCTGAGGAAAACCACCCTTGAGGCCAATTGCACAAGTCTCCATCAAACGTGGCATATACCAAGGAGATGCCATGTCCCCACTGCTGTTCTGCATAGGTCTGAACTCCCTCAGCCAAGTAATCAACAAGACTGGCTATGGATACTGACTCAAGAATGAAAACACAATCAGCTACCTCCTATGGAGCTGTACACCAAGAGTGAGCAAGACATTGGCTCACTGATCCACACCACCAAGATCTACAGCACTGATATCGAAATGTCAATTGGACTCAGTGGCGGTTTTATCATTAGGCATAGGTCGGCGGCCACCTGGGGCCCCCTTGTGTTGGGAGGCCCCCTAGCCCTGACCGCCGACACCCCTCTGTTAATGCCACAATATTCTTATTACCAACCTGCCGACGGGATTGGACGTGCGCACTTCTCATTGTCATGATTCCTGAACCGTTCAAGATATCATTAAAATTCCAAAAGTGCTGAAAATATTAAAATTGGGGCTTTCCGTGCATATACAAGACATTATGATAGCCACCGTCATTCCCTGTTTTGAGCACAACGAATCACAACACAGATTTAGAGATGTGCTGAGTTTGTCATCCAAAATGCTTCATTTTATAACTTTTGAATGGCTGATCAGATTCAAAAACTTCCAACGGTTCCTAAAAGCACATAAAAGCAGCTTTCCAACGATCTATAGCATGAAGCCATCAGAGTCATGGAAAATATTGCGACAAGGGGAAATCCTGCTGTACAGCCTGATTGAAACGGAGCACAGCGCCGCGGTGAAAGCGGATAACGGAACGGGGAAGCTAATCAGTGTAAAAAGCCAGCATGAAATTATGGAAATGACTCAATGAAAATCAACACGATCTATTAAGTGTCCCAGAAGGCTTATATCTGAAGACAGTGACCACGAAGAAGGACAGATCTCCAGTGAACCAGGATATGAATGTTTGTTCAGTCTTAATTTTTTTATTTTTATTTGAACAACCCTCAACTATTTGCCAATTGTAAGATTCAGCTTCATTCCAGCATTATTTATCTTTTTACAATAAATAATTATTTTTGCTAAAACAAAAGTTTTGGGTATAGCAGTGCACGGTGTGCCAGAGAAGCACCCCATGGCAGTGTGAGGTGCGCTCTGCCTGCAGCTGAAGAGAAACTGCTTCAAGGTCTACCACATCAAATAAAAATGTCTGAAAGTTTACAAAACTAAATGGTCTTAAAACTGCTAAAAAAGATACCAAGGTTCAAACTTTTTTAAGAATAGATTCATTACAGTTCAAAGTTTAAAGTGTTCTTTCCAAATTGTTTGCCCAGTAATTTAGAAGTTCCAGTTCAGTAATAAATGTAAAAAATTCAAATTCGTTTTTTGCTTTTTTCACCTTTAAGCTGATTTTTTAAAGGCTTTAATAGAAATAAATTCTAAATACAAACCATACACTGAAAGCTGAGGTTGTTCTGAAAAAAGGAGAAGAGTTACACACACTTTGCACTTTTTATTACAATTTTACAGCCATAAGATTAAAAAAATACCAGGCAGCCCTGTTATATTTATGGTCGTAAGAGGGTTATTAAGACGGCGATGCAAAAACAGGAAGTGATTGGTAGTCATTCCACTCCAATCCAGTTGGTGGCGGTAATGCACCAAATTGTTGTTTGCCAAGTGCCATAAGACCACAAGTAAGAAGAAGAAGAAGAGAGGCGGAAGCGTTCGTAACAAACTCAAAGCGATAGTCAATACATTAAGCATGACATGGAGTTATCCTAGTGGCTCCAATAAGAGAACGAAGCAGCATGCTTCATAAAAGCTTTTATCTTCACTTTTGAAAGTGACGTCGTTTTTCGATGTAAACCTCAAAAGGAAGCAGAAAGGAAAGACCGTGGAAAGTGTTTAAAGGGAGGAAAACATAGACCAAAATGGAAAATAGAAAAAAAAATAACAAAGGCAAAAGCACAGGAGCACTGACAGGAAAAAGAAAGCAGAGCAAATATTGAAAGCGCTCAAAGGGAGGTAAGTACAGGAAAAAAGAGGAGGACTAATAAAAAGGGAAAATAATTCATGTCAGAAGAGGGGAGAGTTTCGCAAATTCAATTCAATTCAATTCAAAGATACTTTATTAATCCCAGAGGGAAATTAGAGTTTCAGTACACACAATTCAGAGATCAGACATACATGGGCAAGACACATGACAAGAATTGGTGACTGTGGTCATTCGCAACCCTGAGTCGCGCTACCTTAATAGAGATCAGAGGGTTACATGAGGATTGGTTAAGGTGGAGGGAAAAAAAGGCACTTCAGAGTTAACCTCCACCAGGAGGGCAGTTTTGCTCTGCAAAAAAACACCTCAGACAGATATGCAACAGACTTCAGACATCACACAACATAAGTGTCCACTAGGTGGGGTGGTGGGTTTGGAACTATCCACATTTCGGTTCCTGCAGCCACTACAAGCAGCGCATGTCACCTCAGTCTGAACAGTAGGAGGAGCATTTAGAGTTGGAGGGTTGCAGTGACCCTGGAACGATTTGGCGGCCTTCCTGCAGTCCCGCCCAGGCTGGGATAGGAGATAGAATTGAGTTGCCATAGCGATGGCACATTCCACATATCTTCTGAGGGGGGAGTTTTCGTTGGAGCCAGACAGAGATAATTTCCTCTCTGTCTTAAAGTTCCTTGGTCCTCAACCTCTCAAAATCCCAATAATGGACATTAATCTATCCCAATCCGTGCTAATTCGTCCACTCTATCCTTGATGGCATCAATCTTTTGTGCCAGTGAATGAATCTCAGCCAAAGTTCCAAGCTTACGATTCATCTCAATAATTATGAGTCTGTGAATTCACAGCACGGTGCAAACCATCTCTGAGCTCCGGGAGCAGGCCAATATTCCTCGACAGCTCGTTAATTTTCCGGTAAGCCAGGAAGTCTCCAAGCCAATGAGCAAGAAACCTGACACCAACACCACGAATATCCACACGTCTTCAGAGTCCTCCACAGACAGCTGAGATAAACAAATCAAGTTCCACTGTTTCCAGGAGTCCATGAATGTCCAACTGGGTCTGTCCCAGAGGGGCATCTGGGAGCCCCTTCTCCCGTTCTCATCGTTGAAAAAATTTTATCAATCGCGTTGAGAGACCAACTGACGAGGTCCATTTTAGTGATTTCAGTTTCCAGTTTCCAGAAAAAATACAGAAGCAGCTGTGGACCCAGCACACAGAGACAGACAAAGGGCCTTGAGGATAAGATATGGAGGAGAGGAGGAAAAAAGCATCTGCACCCTCCAAGAGTGGGAAGAAGAAGTTAAATCCAGTTGAAGGTAAGATTGTCGAAAATTTAGTGTAAAGGGCCCCATGACTGTTTGCCTTGGGCCCCCAAATTGCCAAATCTGCCACTGTTTGGACTTGAGAAGTGTGGTCGGATGATGAAAAAGAAAGAAAAGGTAGTCCACACAGAAGGGGTCTCCCTCCCAGAAGGAGTAATTGCAGACATTGAGGACAGTTACAAGTATCTTGGTATCCCAAAAGCAAATGGTAACCTCGATGATGTCCAGATCCAGACTGACAAAATGGTGATGGCGAACCAACCAGACATCATGGTGGTGGACAAACAACAGAAGACAGCTGCTGTGGTTGATGTAGCAATACCAAGTGATGGTAACATCAGAAAAAAGGAACGTGAGAAGCTAGAGAAGTACCAGAGCCTCAAAGAAGAACGAGAAAGCCTGAGAGTGAAGACATCTGTGGTAGCTACCCGTGGTCATCGGGACACTCGGGGCAGTAACCCCCGACTGGAGGAGTGGCTAAAGCAGATCCCAGGAAAAACATCAGACATCTCAGTCCAGAAAAGTGCAGTTTTAGGAACAGCTAAGACACTGCAGAACCCTCAAGCTCCCAGGCCTCTGATAGAGGACCTGAGCTTGGAAGGATGAGACCAATTCCATTTTTGGTTCATTTTAAAAAACAAGAAAGGTTTCTCTTTACCTTGCTAACATATCGTTTGCCGACTGCAAAACATCCTCAGAGCTGATGCTGATGGTGGCGTCACTTCCTACTCCGTTTATCCGCGGGCAGCAGAGGACATTGTCACCCTCTGCTGCCCACTCTCCTCTCTCTGATGATGCAGTCCCATGCACAATCCAATGTGTACACCCCATCGTCTCTGTTCATGGTCCCACATCCACGTCTCCTTATCTCTATAGCTTCTTTTATCCATCTTTTGTATTTCTGTAGTTCGGTGTTTATGATTCTTGTGTTGTCCCAGTCCATTATATGGTTTTCTCTTGTGCAGCGATCTGTTACGCTGACTTCTTTATTGTGCTTTCTGCTTCTTGTTTTGCTGCTCTTGTGTGTCTTTGACTTGTTTCTTTCTCACACTCCTTTCTATGTTCTATTGTTCGTGTGTTGAGTTGGTGTCCGGTTTCTCCTATGTATGTTCTATTGCAGAGTTTGCATTGGATTTCGTAAACAACTCCACATTTATGTCCAGCTGGTATCTTGTCTTTTGGGTGTACTAGTCTGTTTCTAACTGTTGTGTATTGTTTTGTTGGTGTGTTTATGTTGTGTTTTTTCGTTGTTGCTCTTATTTTTTCTGTTATGCCTTTGATGTATGGTAGGGTTATCACTGGTTTTGGTTCTTGTCTTTCTGGGTTTCTGGTTCTTTGTTTGTTCTTTTCTTTCTGCTGTTTGTTGTTTTCCTTCGTTTATTGCCCATGTCGGGTATCCGCAGGTCTTTAAAGCGTGTTGTATGTGTTTGTTCTCTTGTTTACGGTCTCTTTCTTCTATTATCATGTTTGCTCGGTGATATAATGTTCTGATTACTGACATTTTGTGTATGGTGGAGTGTTCTGATGTCCGTAATAGATACTGGTCTGTGTGTGTTGGTTTCCTATATGTGTTTATGTTTAGGGTCCCGTCGGTCTGCCTGGTTATTTTCATGTCCATAAATGCTATGCTGCCTTCTGTTTCTGACTCATAAGTGAACTTTATGTTGCCTGTGCTGTCAATGTTATTCAAGTGTTGTGTTAGTGTTTCTGTTTGTCCTTTTGGTATGATTTCCAGTATGTCGTCTTCGTAGTGTTTCCATTGTTTTATTTTGCAGTTGGGGGGGGGGGGGGGGGGGGGTATGGTCTCATGGTCTATGTCTTCCATGAAAAACTCACACAGGGTGGCTGATAACGGGTTACCCATGGCGAAGCCTTCAAGTTGTTTGTATATTGTGTTATTGTACGTGAAGTAAGTGGAGTTAGCTACCAGTCCTATCAGTTGAGCTATGTCATCTGCTGTGAGGTTTGTTCTTTGGGTAAAGTCTTGTCCTGTCTGAATCTGTTAACTACTATGTCTATGGTTTTTTTGGGTTGGTGTTTTTGTGAATAGGAATGTGACGTCATGCGAGATGAGTATGTCGTTATCTTTTATTGTAATCTTTTTTAGTTCTTTTGCCAATTCTATACTATTTCTGCAGTGTTGATCTGTGTAACCTAATAGCGGGCTGATGATTTAGCTGATTTCTTTTGCCTTGTTGACATGCCAGTTCTGTTGCTACAATAAATCCTTCATATGGTATTTTCTTTGGTGTTACTGCAAAGTTTAAACCTTTTTTTAATATGCTTTCTTCTGCTTCTGTTAGTTCGTATTGTGAAATGTTACATACCCATGAGCTTTGTGTGGTGTTATCTTGTATTTCTTTTCTCTTTTTCTTGTTGATGAGTTTGTTTAACTTCTTTATGTGTCTTTCTTTTACTTTTGTGAATTATTTTTCCTGTTGTTCCATCACGTGTCTTTTAGTTTGTTCCTCTGTTTTTTATCAAGTTTGTAATTCCTTTTTAAGTCCAGGTGTCTTCTTTCCAGTTTGTTTTCCACTTGCTTCTGTTTGGTTGCGACGTTTCTTATCCTTTGTTTGAGTAGTGCTTTTAGAGTTCTTTCCATTATGTTCTGTGCTGTCTTGGTCCAGATCGGTGTTTTCAGCTGTAGGCTTGTTGGTGTGATGTTTTCGTCCCGGCATCTTACATTGAAACGAAGGTGGTTCCTTAGACGTGCGCGTTTTAGATGTAAACGTTCCAAACGGCGGAAGTCCTTTGTTCCTTGTTGTCCGTATTTTCTTTAAACATCTTTGGTGTGTTCTTGCTGTGTCTAGTTTCTAATTCCATTTTTGCTTCATTTTAAAACACAGGAAAGGTTTCTCTTTACCTTGCTAATGTTTAGTTTGCCGACTGCAAAACATCCTCAGAGGTGACGCTGATGGTGGCGTCACTTCCTGCTTCATTTATCCGTGGTTAGCAGAGGACGTTGTTGCCCTCTGCTGCCCACTATCCCCCCATTATATATAAATATATATGCAAAATCTTGATTTTTCCAAATAGCCCTTTTGCCTACATGGTTGTTACTTTGTCTAAAATGTTTTGTATAGGAATTCTAGAACAAGTACATTGGTGAATAAATTTGGCTCACTATAAAGGATTTATTAGCCATCATAGAGAGGAATGTTGGGGTTAGAGTTGTTTCGGTCATGAAAATAAATATTATGTATTATGTCATGACACTGAAAGACGCCATGTAATCCATTAGCTCTAGTAGGGTTGTTGACAACACTGCGTTTTGTTGGTGGTCATCTTAATCAGGTTGAGTCTAAAAGTTAATCAGAGGAAGAAGACATTTAGAGATTACTTACAAGATTTTCTTAATCTAATCCAGTCTTTCATGAGAATTTTTGCTGAAATGGTAAATGGCCTGTATTTGATATAGTGCCTTCTAGAGTCCTGGAACCCCCCAAGGCGCTTTACAACACAATCAGTCATTCACCCATTCACACACACATTCACACACTGGTGGTGATGAGCTACAATGTAGCCACAGCTGCCCTGGGGCGCACTGACAGAGGTGAGGCTGCCGAGCACAGGCGCCACCGGTCCCTCCGACCACCACCAGCAGGCAAGGTGGGTTAAGTGTCTTGCCCAAGGACACAACGACAGCGACAGACTGAGCGGGGCTCGAACCTGCAACCTTCCGATTACGGGGTGAGCACTTAACTCCTGTGCCACCGTCGCACCGTGAAAGGCAGACAAGAACATTTCTGTCTGCCAGCGGGTAATAAACAGTTACTTTTAGCACAAGTGTTGTTCTTAGAGCAGTCAACAGTTCATCAAATTGAATTCAGGGAATACAACAGAGTCTGTGTTTTGGCATCCATTATACTGTTTATATAAATGCACAATGTTAAGCCTTAAACATCTTGGCATTATTGGTCACACGAGCTATTTATATTTGTAAATGGAGCATTAGAGCTCTAGTATGAAGAAACAGAGTGACTGGCACAAGATCAATCCCTGTAGTGATTACTATGTTCAACATCAGCCTCCGCTGTGTTTTAGAGCTCTGCTTCACTGCATCAGATTCATTCCCTGCCAGTTTCTTATAGAGCAGTTTGAATAAAGGCCAGAGAAAAGTATAAGTTCAGCGCTTTCCTTTATTTGTATGTATCACAGTCCATAGACCGAGCATAAAAGTAATTCACAGGCATTCGTACAAGAACAAAAAAGCGAAACATGATATATAAACAAGGGAATAAGAGTAAAAAGAGTGTAGTAGACAGAAGTCTAGGTGTAACAAAAGAACAAGGAGGCAGCTGGTTTACTGTGTTACCTTTATAACAAGGTGTAAATTATTAAAAGTGAGAGTAACTAAATTGAACATTCAGGTCACCGAGTAAAAAGAGAGCAGAGTGATGAAGATGAGAAACACAAAAGGACAGTGTGCTTCCTCTTTTGGAATTAGACCTGGAAATTGAAAGTGAATAGAAAAGAGAGTTTTCAGGAAGAGATGAGGTTCAAGTTATTTTCCTGCATAAACAGAAACGGCAACACATACAAAAGGCTGTTGGAGTTTTTTTTCTCCATGGAACAGCACCACTGCTTCATTTCTCCAGAAAATAAAAGTATGTGGAAACTGTAATCTGAAATGTATGAATGTGCCTCCGTCTCTGCAGACACATCTGAAATTATTCACCTCCTGAGTACTGTTCTGTGTTGCTGAAAACAAAAACAAAACAATGCTATGTTGCATATTAGATCCTCTTTGATTGTGATCTAAAGTTTTACTCTGCATTTGTCACAATAGTTCTATGGGATGCTCTGTTCAGTGCACTTTTCCTGCTTTTGGTTTGTCTGTCAAAGCAAAAATATCCAGGTAATTTTATTTGTGTTATAACTTTTGAGAAAATTAAATGTATTTTGCTGAAGGATGCAATTTGAAAACTCTTCAACATCACAGAGCAACTCTTGTAGATCTAATGACTCCTATAGGTTTGATATTTTATTATTTTAGCAGTTATTTGGAATGGATAATATCAGTTTTTTTTTCCAATAATCAGCCCAAAGATGATTTAGAGGCCAATGGATCTGAACTGTCCACGCTGTCTTCTCCTGTGTCTGGAGGGGGTCGCCATGGGGATCCAGCTAGCAGAGAGACAACTGACACAGAAGCAGCAGGTAAGCAGCAGCCACACACTCTTACTACACACCCCACTCTGCTCATAATTAGGAAAAAGCTTCTGTGTCTGTGTCAGGAGACGACCTGGAGCATGAGCAGGATACGGTGCTGCAGCTCCAAGAGGTCATCGAGCAACTGAGAAACGTCTTCCCCTCAGAACCGGGTGAGTTTGTTGCATCTGCACGGGTCTCTGCTGCTCCATCTCACCAAACTTCAGAGTTTTTCTAGAGATGGAGAGGAGAGCAAATATGTACTGCTGCAGGTCGATAGTTTGGAGGAAGGGACAGGAAGATCACATAGCATAAAGGAGGAGGAAGATAAGAGTGACACAAAGACTGAGAGCATCATTGTCACAGATAAACTCTTCCACTGCCATTAAAATGCAGTTTTCTGGGAAATTTGCTGCAAACAACGAAATTATTTTTCTAAATGAAACTCTTCTTCAAGGGAACATAATGTAAAACTCACCTTTTGCATTTTTTTGATGTGCTGTGTTGGTTTCTACTGCCTCTGTAAACACTCCAGACATGTAAACAGTGTCCATTTATTTTCTGTCAGTGTGACCATGTGTGATGTTACAATTTGGGAAATTTGCATAGAACTACCTACCTTCTCTCCAGACTGGAGGAGGAGCAGCTCTACTCTGAGCCCCTCCCATATATTTGAGCATCTCAGCTTATAGAAGCCTGAGTGGGGGGGGGGGGGGGGGGGCGTGGCCTGCTCCAGCTTGTTTTCTTAAAGCAACAAAGCCTTGAGGCAGCTCATTCTGAAAGGTACTGAAACTGTCAAGAATGAAACAGCTGAATTTGTGTAACGTGACAGAGATTTTATGCAAACAACTTCATGGACATGTTTTAAATCCACCGTAAAACTGAACTCAAAAAAATAGTTGTAATATGTCTGATTTTATTGTAGCCACAGACATTTATTCCATGTGTTTTTAAACTTTTGTCTTTTGCTCCCTAATTTTAGGAACCACCTCACACATCTGAGCTCGAGTGGGACTCGAGGAAAAAATGACGGCCTGAAAGGTTTCCTGATAGCTGAGGGAGGAGCTTGATTGAGCTGAGGTCAGGTGGCAACATTCCAGGGCCCTGTGACCGCTGCAGCAGCAGCTACAAAACCGAGAACTAACCCTCCTCCAGATATCTGTGCACTAAAAGCCTTTCTAATGCAAACCGCTAAAGGCTCACACTGACGCCCTTTTGGCCAGGCTGTGCTTCACCAGTCCAGTGGCACCATGTTTATGGCGTTAAAGGGAAACTATTGTTAGCTGAAGGTCAGAGACTGAGAAACAAGCCCAGCCAAGACACTGTGCTTACCAGTATCTGTGTAGTCATTCTGAAGTGTGAAGCTTTATATCAGTTCAGAGCACAAATTACAAATTAAGAACTTGAAAAATGTAAATCTGAATCAAAGGGGAGTCACTAGTTGTGTCAAAATGCCTGTATTTTTTACTGTCTGAGTTTTGTTTCAACTTGTTTTCATGGTTGCTATTTTTGAGTCTTCAGACAGGCGTTGTAAATTGGAGATGAGTGCACCCAAATGGGCTTATTTATTTTGTGAGAATGATACATCATAAGTTCAATCCATGATTTATTTAAAACAGCCAAAGTGCCCGCTAGCACAGCGCCTCTGTTTGCACACGCTGTGTTCCGCTTCTCAAACCCGCTTGTCACTCTCATCGCTTCCCTTCACATACAAACAAACACACACATTTATGCTGCTACACATGCACTCTCTCACAATCCACGCTTCCTGCATCACACACACAGCAGAGACTCCCCGCATGATCAGTAATGTGCTGGCACTGCATTGCAAAAGCGTCCACCCCACTTATTCGTTTATAAACCTGTGTGATCCGCTTATTTTCTCATTTGAAGTCGTCGGGTTGAGCCAGTTTGTATTGTGAGTGGAACTGTGTCTTGATGACGAAACGTATGCCGATAAATAACAGCATGCAGGGCTCCTCCCTTGGATCATTGTTCTCCTGCTGTTTGAAGAGAAATTGGACATAAGGAACTTCAGGCTGAATCCCTTTCCTCTCTGTGCAAGGCCCATCCAGATGCCACGGGGGGTTATAAGGCACACGGACATAAGGCTGCCCAACACTGATATTATCCATAATGTTCCCATCATTTCATGTAGATTTTAAAGGCCAAGTTCACTCATTTTTATACACGTTTGCAATGGTCTCTAGTGTAAATGGATGTCTTGTGAGTCAATCTTTGTGGGGGGAAAAAAGCTCTGTGCTAATGTTTCTGGAACCAGATGTTAGCCAGAGGAGAAGGGTGCAGAACACGCAGGATCTGGAGTCTTATTTCCTGATTTTCTTACATCCCTCCTCTGATTGGATAACAGCAATGTGACTCTGCCACTGTGTCCATTTGCTTTTCAATGTCAATGTTTTTATAAATGATAAATGACCCGCACTTGTATAGCGCCTCTCAGAGTAAGGACTCCAAAGCACTTTACACTACAGTGCATCATTCATCTATTCCCACACACACACATTCACACACCGATGGTGTTGAGCTATGAAGTAGCCACAGCTGCCCTGGGGCGCACTGACAGAGGCGAGGCTGCCGAGCACAGGCGCCACCGGACCCTCCGACCACCACCAGCAGGCAAGGTTGGTTAAGTGTCTTGCCCAAGGACACAACAGCAGAATTCCCTGTCCGGAGCCGGGATCAAACATGCAACCTTCTGATTACTGGACAACCCGGTCAATCTGTTGACAAATAACACAAGCCCAAAGTAGTTCTATCTTGTGGTGGAGTAGCTAATGCTAACTGTTAGCGTCTGCTAGCCGAGACATTCTCTGCTGTGTCCTGGATGCTAAACCATCAACAGCCCTCCCCGTCGTGAGTCAAGAGGGGTGAGTCCATGAATGTTACATAGATCTGTCAGGCTTTCCTAATCAGAGCATTTTTCTGCCTATCGGCGGTTAATGCAGGAAATTGGGGTAGACGACTATTTTCAGCTTGCATGTGAACCCTTGAGAAACAACAAGTAAAAAACGGTTTCTCAGTGAACTTGGTCTTTATAAGCCCATCATCTCTGGACCTTGCATCATTTACACTTAAATTTAGAAAAGGATGTGTGCTTGGACAGGATTTTCTCTCAAGGTTGCATGCTGTTATTAATGTAGCACAAATATTGCCTTAAAACAGAACTGGACCCACATGAGATGTTAGTTTTCCCAAACTTTGTTTTTATACATGTATACACAGAAAGAAGGAGGTTGCATCAGATGTTTGTGTGTCTGTTTGTCTGTGGTTTATTAACGTGATAGAACAGGAGAAGTGAAGTGAGGATCACAGAAAAGTTGAACATTCATGGGTTGGAACCGGTTAAAGAGGGCTCTTATGAGTGAACCCATGATGCTGGGCATGCTCGGAGGGAATATAGAACTGAAATACATGAAAGGAAAGTAGAAAAAAATAAAACAAAAAAATACTGATTGAGTTTTTAGTTTTTAGCTTGAGGGCTGGTAGGAGAGATCCTCTTTGATGTTTCTGCCACAGCAAAAACAGTTCTACGCAGGACCAGGCTTTACCTAAAACAATGAAGCTCGAATTCTTTTAGAGGAGGAGGAGACATGCAGGCTGAGAAATTCACCCTGAACCCGGAGTAGAAGGTACCCTGACCCCACAAACATGAGTTTAGAAACCCGTGCGCTGCATTCATTACAGGCTCCCACAGCACTCACATTTGACACCATCCTCCTCAGCACTTTGCTGCCTGTTAGTTTTGATGCTGTTGCTAGGCAACTGTCCACAGGGACGCAGTTCCACAGGTCTGTGAGATGGATAGGCGATGCGCCGTTTATATTACAAATGCTAATAGCCTTAAGGGAAGCGTGAGAGCGCATCTTGCTTCCGAAACACAACCCTCCATTTTTCCTCTTGCGTGTCCACCGAAGCCTGCTGCTATTTAGCTGCTGATGATCATTACTATTATTATTGGGGGGGGGGGAGGCATGTGTGTGCATCAGCAACAGCTCAAGAATTTTTCTTTTCAGAGCATTCACAAGTGAGAACAATGAGCAGAAGCTCATCTTTGTGTGTGTGTGTGTGTGTGTGTGAGAGAGAGAGAGAGAGAGAGAGAGAGAGAGAGAGAGAGAGAGAGAGAGAGAGAGAGAGAGAGAGAGTGAGTGAGTGGGAGAGAGGGAGAGAGTGAGTGAGTGGGAGAGAGGGAGAGCAGTGTGTTTGTTCCTAGTCATTTATCTCTGGGTATTTACACATCTCATTAAACAATGATTACCCATCACACACGTTGTCTCCATGCTCTCACGAGGACACAAAAGATGTAGCAGTGACTAATTATGAAAAAGAAGCAGAAGCATTTCCCACACGTCAGCTATCGTTGTGTTTATTTTTAAATGATTTAGAGGAGGCAGAATGACACAAACACATGAAATGGTTTTATGTCTGAGCTACGTTATCATTCACTATCAGGCTGATGGTGATTCACACAGAATCACACATCTGTCATCATCTGAGGTCTGATCCGTAAAAACCAACCCCTCATCCTGCTTTAGGAACTTTATATTCTCACACACACACACACACACACACACACACGCACAAAGACACACACACAAAGACACACACACATACACACACATGCCGATTATCACTTGTAAGTCACTTTGGACAAAAGCGTCTGCTAAATACATAAACATAAACAATAACACATGGACACACACACAGACACACGCATGGACACACGCAGCGTATTAAATTGCCTAACGTCAAACAAGGTGTTTTCTACACACACACGTTTATACACACACTCACTCCTTGCAGGTGAACTAAGGTTTCTCTCTTTTTTTGTCTTTAAACTCAACATTAATATACCTCATTAATCACCTAAATGCGTATTGTTTAATGGTTTTGATTTTCTGTTATAGCCCAGAACTCCCACACCTTCACCATCTGTTCTCTGGAGTTTTTAATCTATACAAGAAGTTTTCTGAGGAACTGCTTTTACTGTAATAACAAGTGGGTTACTGGCTGCTTTCTACTCTTTGTGTACAGAAATAAAACTTTGTATTTGGCAAACTTTTCGTTTCTCTCTGTTTTTTTTTTTTTTTTTTTTGTCGTTTTTGTGTCTATGCGATAAATCCTTTGAGAGCTGAATCATAAAGACTCAGAATGAGGCCAAATACAAGCTTATAGTTTGGTTTTGTTTATGTTTGTCTGATGGAATCAATATTTCCTGTTATTTTGTTCCCACTTATAGATCTGTTTGTGTCTGTCTTCACCTACATTTCTGACTTTTGACTCGGCGTCGCGTCAACACACCGGTCGTGTTTGACGGAGCCTCCTTTTCCTTTCTTAGATCTTCCGCCTTTGATCCCAGATTTTGCTCTGCTTGGATGTGGAGCACCACTTGTTTGGCTCTTGACCTTCTTCTTGCCCTTATCTTGTGCTGATCTCTTTCTCACTACATTATCAGAGCCGGTGGCTGCAGATTCACTATCTTTATGTGCTTTGTGGTTATCAGGTACACCTGGCTCAGCTGCAGGAGTCACGACCCGTTCTGTGTTTTCATCATCTTCCCTCACCGTCGCACGCTCTGGCTCTTTATTGCTCTGCTCTGCTTTTGAATTTGGACTTTTTGCATCTACTGCTTCTGTCTGAACAGGGCAGTGTTCGTCTGGGCTTTCCTTCTCTTCAGCTTTACTGCTGGCAGTCTTTTCATCCACATCTGTGTTTTCTTTTGGGGCAAATCTAATATTCTTCTGTCCTGCTGCACTCTTGGTCTTGCTTCCACCGGACCCCCACTTCTCCCTCGATGTGTCCCAGTAAGTCTTGTTCTGGCGGGCATGCATGGTGCGCATGTTTTGACCCAGCTTTTTCAGCTCCTGGACAACAAAGGGCTTGAACTTTGGGTCCAATTTCTCCAGCAGCCCAAAATCTCTCCGAGCTTCATCCTCGTTGCACAGCGCGGCGTGTGCGCGCGCCCTCTGGTACACAGCCTTAAAGTTACCTTTGGAGCATGAGAAGCAAGAAGGAAGGAGAGAAAATGAACTAAATGTTTACTTGCAAAGAAAGGAGAAAATAGAAAAGTCAACCAGACCGACAGGTTTGCAATAATAAAACCAGAAAGCAGCTAAATAAATTTCCTGAGTGAAGCTGAAGTATGTAAATTGTAGACCAGGGGTGAGGCAGGTGATGGAAATCGTTTGAGGATTGCTGGAGGAGTAAATGATGGGAAAGACAAAGATAAAAACGGCTATTTTACATCAGTTTCTATAAATAATTCATCTTAGAAAAGACAAACTATTCCGTTTTGACTGAGATGTCCATGGGTGGGTTTTGGAGGGAAAAGAAGAGACACAGAAAAGTGGCTGTGAGTGTTTGGTTTTGTCTTTTCTTAGTAAACAAAGAGATAAAGGAGTGCTAGAGAAAGCAGAGGGCCTGAGCATCACACCTTGTTTTTGTTTGGGGCTTTAAAAATGATGCGATGAACAGAAAAAAACAGAACAACCAGTACACTTTGGGTTGCTGTTTCTCTATCAAATAAGATGTTTGTTTCCTATGTCCTCTCCAGTACAACAATCTGTTTTTCACCCCCAGCAAACACTACCTCTGTGCGTCTTCAGCAGCCTGCTGTTTAGCTCCACCACTTGCTGGTATTGTTGCAGCTCCAGCATGCACTGGCTGAGGTTGAGAGTAAGGGGAAGACGCACTTTCTCCAGAGACTCCCAGTCCTCACCCTTTTGGTCCACCTGCTGACAGGACAGAGGAGGGCTGAGGTGATTTATGGAGGGGAGGGTTTCTGAAAGATGCAACCCAAACAACAGTGTGAACAAACGAGTCATAGGCTGAGAGAAATGACAAAAAAGACATTGCGTCAATAATGATTCAGAGAAATGCAAGAAAAATGTGGAAGGAGGACAAGGTGAAGAAAAGAGGATTAGTTTCATGTGAAACTGGAGACACTGAGGTGCAGAAGCAAGAGCTGGAGTGCTGTGACAGTGACATCTCAGAGGATATCTGTTATTTTTAGCACATCTTCTCTGCTCTTCATTTTGCCAGTGAGGCTACAGTGTTGCTGTTTCTTTTAAGGAGAAGAAAAGTTGTGACACATGATGAATACAGAGTCGCTATCCTTTAAACTGCTTTTGTGTTTCAGACTTTCACCACTCTGAATAGAATACAAAAACAGGGATCATTTTCAAATCAGTACAGCTTGTTTTAAAAGATTTCTGCAACTTTCCTACCTTACTCTGTAGTATGTCCACATATTCTATAGCCTCCTTGAACTTTGCAGAAGCTTCTTGGAAGTCTTTCTCTTTAATGAGAAAGTTCCCTTCATTCTGCTGCAGCATGACCAGCCGTAACATCTGCTGCCAGTCCTTCTCGTCGGTTTTGTCACTAGCACCTGGTTCGATGGCGGAGCAGCTTGCTTCCTCCTCCTCTCCCTCAGATGGTGCTGCCTCATTCTCTTCCTCACCAGCTGCAGAACTTTTCAGAGGACTTGACTCTTCTGCCACTTGAATCGCAGCTTCAAGGTCTTCTCGCTTGCCTTTCTCGTCTCCTCCTTTCTCCTCTTCCTCACCGAAGTCCTTTTCCTCCTCTTCTGTGCTCTTACTCTCCACTGTCTCCAGCTTGTTCCAGTACTGCTCCTTCTCCTCCCAGTATTTCTCTTTCATGCGCTCCGACAGGTCCTTCAGCTCTCGGCGAACCAGTGAGGACAGGGAGATGTCCAGCTGGGCCACCATGTTGAAGTCTCTCCGAGCCTCTTTTTCATTCCATACAGCAGCGTGAGCCTTGGCCCTCTTGTAGTAGCCCTTCAAACAGTCTGAAACACACACACTGTTGCTTATTTATCACTGAAATTTAACAAGGAATCTGCTACACAGAAGCTTAGATAGCACATCAAACAAGGGATTAGTGTGCATTTTCCTTGAGCAAGGCTAAACCTATTCAGGTCAGCATGATGAATAAATGAAGAGGACCTGTGACTCAGAGGAGGATTAGATTATTAATTAACCTGGACCAGTCTCTTCAGAAAGAACTGTGTTCCAACAGTGAGGAATCTGTTGGGGGTAAGACTGGTTTGGTTTAATCCCTGATTACATGTGCACAGTGCTGTAAAAAGTGTGACTTCCTCACAAATCTCCTCGGTTTTATGTTTCCTGTTTTGTATTTTAACACTTTTTTTCCACAACTGTATTCATCAGACAAAGATAATCTGAGTAAATTCTGACTGAATGCAGCTTTTAAATGATAACAACTATCCAAGCAAGTAACTGAATCGTAAAGTTGGCATGCTTTAGTCTCTAGTAAGAATGAATGCCTTGTGAGTCATTTTCTGTCCAAAAAAAAAAAGGTCATGTGGAAGAGTGGGGTTGGAAAATGGCACAGTTTGGAGTCTCATTAATGTTCTGTACATCTCGCCTCTGTTTGGCTAACAGCAATACGACTCTTCCGCTGCCTTCGTTCACTCTGTTTCTTGGGTCAAAAATGCAACGTTGACGTTATATCCTCACAAATAACACAAGCTTGAACATGTTCCACCATGTTGGGGAGTTGATAATGCTAATAGTTAGCTCCTACTAGCAGAGATGTGCTCTGCTCTTTCCTGGGTGCTAAATCGACACGTTTCTGAATTTACTGTGTGGCGTAGATCTGAGTGGCTTTTTCTGACCTGAGCGTTTCTAAGGGAAGTACTATTTTTGTATTCACCCTGCATGTGAAAGTCATTGTGACAGTCTCTCACATCTGTGGGGGAATTTTGTCCCACTCTTCTTTATAAAACTGTATTAATTATTTTCTGGTTCCATCAATTACAACATCATTAAACGTGAACCTTGCTTAGAAAAATGGCAAAGACAGCTAATCTTAGTTTTAACAAAATTACCTCAGTTATTTATTATTATTATTTTATTTTGTTCTAGCAGAATTTGATGCCCTTGGACAGATCTAGTCTTGCTAAACCAAGAAAGCACACAGCTTTTGATCAGGCTTCAAAACCTCGCAATCTTTTCATTTATCGGGGAATAATGGAAAATCCCAAAGTAGGAAATGTGTGTACAAGAAAACAATGTGTTCTCATTCACTGCAGCTCCTCTGGTTTCATATATGTTTGTATTTTTGGGGGTGGTTTCTTGGCATTTTCTTTCAGCCGACGCTAAATTTTCCTTCAGCCAGCAGTTAAACAGACTTCTGTGTCGCTTCTGGCAAAAGCAGAGACACCACAGAGAGCCGCCTTTCCCAAAGAACAACTGTGTTGAAGGGATGAAAGAGCAGCAGAGCGGCTGACTTAAACTGCTGCAGACAACATGACACTGATGACAGGAGAAACAACACGGTGAGGAACCAAGCAAGTGGGAAATAAGAAGGTGCTGAAGTCTGTAAAGTTGTGAAACAAAGGTGCAGCTTGAGAACGACTGAAGGTATGGCTCTAGAACAGGAGACAAAGACTTCAAACATCATGTGAGCTTAACCAGTGGTGCTCTTTACATTATTTCTCTTCTTCATGACGATACCTCAACTATTCTCTCAGTCTAATCTCAGTTTGTGTATTTCATTATTTCTGCTAATATGCTGTGATTTTCTCTGAGATGACTAGTCTTTTACCCAGAATCCAGCTGCCTAATCACATTTTAACACTACACTCTAAAAGTAGGATAGAGGTGCAGATACACAGACAAACACACAATAAGTCACTGTAAAACTGAAGAATACAAGCTGAAGAATACAATACAGACTGTCGTAGCAGATTCTGTCACAGAGTGAGGGGCCGACTCTTGAGGCTCTGAAGCGGAGGCTGTGCCAGCATGTGAGGATGTCCTAGGCTTATATGGCTGGCCCTGAGTATGACAGTACAATTCCCAGGGCTGCTCCAGCAGTAAAACCTTCAGTAATGTCAGCCTCAAGTCCTCCCACACACTTACACAAAACAGAGCTGCAACATTCAGCAGAGTGTTTTTATTTTAGTTAGTTCTTATGATCTGGTACAGTAAATACAGCTGTGTGTTTAATTAGCATATGTGAAATGGACAGCTGTTTGGTTAATATATGCTAAGCTAAGCATATTTAAAATAAAGACTAAAGCTACATAAAGGTACGCTAACTTTGTCCTGCCTTTTCCAAGTATTGCAAATAAGAAATTAACTTGTGTGTTTAAATAGGCAGCAGTCTAGTCTGTCTCTGTCTATTTTAGCCTATCTGTCGACAGATTGCAGTGTAATTAATGTCTAAGACTATTCCTTTTGAAATTCTGGCTCCAACAATGGCTGAATGTTTGTTTTATACTCATTGTTATCTATTTAGTAATTATAGTGATTATTAAAGCAACACTAAAAAGGTTTTAACACTTCAGGGCCAGCGAATACCAACCTGGGATCCCTACAATGTTTTCAGTGCAGAGGTTTTTAGGTTACCAAGATTATATTTATAAAAAATTACATGATTAAAATTCAGATAACACATAGTACCATCAAAATACTGTGTAAGAAACATAACTCTGTATGTCTGTGTAAAATTTGTAATAATAAAATTTTAATTGTGTACATGTGTGTAGGAGTTTGGGTTGGGGTCGCGCGGGGCTTGTCTTGGACACAGAAAAGGGGATCCTTGTGAAAAAAGATTGGGAACCACTGCTTTAAGTTTTTGCTTCCAAACTGGTTTCAGTGATTCTTGAGCCATAAACTTGAACGATTTCACATCGGACAGGACTTTGTAGCCCTTTGCTCACTAGAAACTGCATTCAACAGTTTTGTGCCTCAGGTCAGAACACTAGTGGGAGCTCTCTACCTGCTTTACGGCAATAGCTGTTTACTGTGTAGCTAATATCAGGGCTAGCAGTCAGCTTGTTAAGCTCACCAATCATCAATAAAAAGCACAAGATGAAGAAAAGGTTTGCTTTTATTGTTTGCCTCATGGTAGAGTCTGGAAGTAAAGAGAGTAACGTGTTTGGAGATAAAGCAAAGAAAACCCAGAGCTAACATCTGTGTGGCCTACACTCATTTGAAGGAGCTGCAGGAGGCTATGAAATCACGTACTGATGGTGACCTGGCTTTGTTGCTACTGGACTTGTGTCGATCGTTTTACTTCACGGCTTATTTAATATCAGTCTGCTCCTGTTAGTGTTAGCTTGTTGTTAGCACTAGTTAAAGCTGATACGACAGTTGTAGTTCTGCTTTCAACCAGTGGCCATGTGAACAGAGGGGCAATAATTCATCTGCTCATTAAAGATTTCATAGTATCAGAAACAGAGTGAGCGGGCTTCCACCTATTACAATCACTGTGATTAATTTTCTTTCACTCATCATTTTAAGCAACTTGTGACTATAAAACAACTCATGTCTAAAGAACTTATGCAAAACACTTTTGTATATCAGTAAAAAAAATGTATTAAGGAAGAACCATCCGTTTTAGCTAGATTTAGTTAGTTTAATTAGGAAACTACCATGCCTAATGGGTTCATAAACAGAATTATTGTAATAAATAAAATATTATATTTAAATAATTTCAGGAGATAGATATAGATAGATAGATAGATAGATAGATAGATAGATAGATAGATAGATAGATAGATAGATAGATAGATAGATAGATAGATAGATAGATAGATAGATAGATAGATAGATAGATAGATAGATAGATAGATAGATAGATAGATAGATAGATAGATAGATAGATAGATAGATAGATTGATAGATTGATTAATGCAGCCCCAATAGGGAACAAGCCAGTGTCCCATTTGTGCCGGTCCCAAGCCTGGGTAAATGCAGGGGGTAGTGTAAGGAATGGATCAAAGGAAAAGATAGATATATAGATAGAGGAACCGTAATGATGATAGCATAGTTTTCTATGCATTTTAGGTATTTGGAGGTATGTGACACCCAAGAAATTATTTCCCAGACCTGCCCCCCCAATATTCTATCTGCACCCCTTTGTAGGGCTGGCTAAATCCGGCCCTGCCTGGCCCTACTGGATCATCACAACACTCCAAGCCAGGGTCAGAATTCCAGTCCTGCACAAAGGCTTCTCAGCAGGAGGACCAGAACTCTTCTGCCTCAAAAACAACTTTATTGGAACCAGAAGTGTGCAACAGCAAACAAGGGCTGCTTGACAACAGGTGCAGGCAGGAGTGGTACTGCAACCGCACAGCAAAGGACTTGGATGGTGTTACACCTGGGGATCCAGTTAGAGTCCAACCCTTGGTGCTTGGAAAGACATGGGAAAGAGCCACGGTGATTATTCCTGTGGTTTCAAGATCTTACAAGGTGGAGCTGGAGTCTGGTGCGGTATTGAGGAGAAATCGCAGACACCTCAGGCACGATGTTGGTCCATCCTTAATTCCGCCTCAGGCTGCTTGTGACACGCTTCAAGCAGTGTCTGACAACTGGAAGCTGGGTGGCACTGTTACTACAAGGTTGGGTCATCCAGTTAAGAGGCCTGCCTAAGACTATACTGTATAAGATGTTGATTTTGTTTGTTCTCAGGGGTGGAGGGTGCTCTATGGGAAAAATAAATAAAAAAACAATAAAAGTGAGAAGAATACATTTGTAAGGTTCTATGTGTTTTTATTAAGGAAGAACCATCCATTTTAGCTAGATTTAGTTAGTTTAATTAGGAAACTACCATACCTAATGGGTTTATAAACAGAATAAAATAGATAAAATATACTATTTAAATAATTTCAGTAGATAGATAGATAGATAGATAGATAGATAGATAGATAGATAGATAGATAGATAGATAGATAGATAGATAGATAGATAGATAGATAGATAGATAGATAGATAGATAGATAGATAGATAGATAGATAGATAGATAGATAGATAGATAGATAGATAGATAGATAGATAGATAGATAGATAGATAGATAGATAGATAGATAGATAGATAGATAGATAGATAGATAGATAGATAGATAGATAGATAGATAGATAGATAGATAGATAGATAGACGGACGGACAGATAGTTTATTTCCTTTTTTGGGAACAGGTTTTCTTTAGCGTTTCTTAAAACATCTTTAAGAAATCAACCATAAAATCTGTCTGTTGGAACAAGAGCTTTAGGCTTTAGAGAAAATAAGCAGTTTTATCTGAACTTTCATTTGAATTTTCTTGCCGTAGGAAGATTAGAAAAACAATGTTTGCAACAAATTTTGCATAAATGACCCTAGCTGACACGGTCCTGTCTTTTGTCTCTTTTCATATTTGTGCACAACAGTAGCCTTGAGCTTTAAGGGCTGTGAGCATATGGTGTATTTTGCTGGTTCACATCTCAGGAGTGAATAATAACCTCACACTGTTAAAACACCTCAGTGCACAAGATTAAGCGTGGCAGCTCTGGTGCAGCTGCTAACCTCAGAGGTATGATGGAGTGACACAATGGTGGGAGTGTGAAGCGGTGACTGAACAGAGAAAAATGAAGGAGTGCTGTTTCTCCCAGAATGAGCTAAATGAATGAGATTTGGTCTAAAACATAGGAGTGTGTGTCTCTTGTGAGTGTTTGTCTTTACCTTTGTGTTTCTCCAGCAGCTCAGTGGTGTGCTCTATAACGTGATAGTACTCCTCCAACTCTAACATGCACTGGCAGTAGTTCAGCTCCAGGGGAACAATCATCCGACCCAAGTTAATGTAGTCTACATCACCTGGCATCTCCTAACACATGTAGAAATGGCAGAGGGGGGGGTGAGACAAGCCCACATTGCTGCATTTACCTGGAAGCTCTAACACTGTTTTCAATAATTTACATGAAAATATTCGTTTTAAATATTTCCAAACTGATTCAAACAAGATACGGCGCTGGGACGGTGGAGAACACTGAAACCACTATCTCTTCCTGACAGAACATGGCTCGTGCTTTTAATAAAGGCTTTATTAAACTAGTGAATACCCTTAAAGCTGCTAAAAATGAATCTCACACAAAAGAGTCCTGACTAGATCTTATCTGAGCATCTCACACACACACAGCTTTTTTTCTCCCTCCAGTATGTCTCCAGTTTTACAGCTCCTCTCCTCCTCCTAGACAATCCAGAGCTGTTCTCTTTTCCTTTCCTCTGACAGCCCTCCCACCCTACTGCCTATGAGCAAGACCACAGAGAAGAAGATTAAAATAGAGTTCCCTCCTTAGAAACCTAAAGGTCATGAAACATGGACAACAAAACAAACAAGAGCGTAGACATTTATCTCATTCTGTCTTTCATCCCACCTTTCATCCCAGATCCTTTACTCACTCTGGACTGGACGGTTTTCAGCAGCAGGACTGCTTCTTTGTATTTGCTGGCGGCTTCGCGGAATCGTTTCTGCTTGACCAGAGCGTTGCCCTGCATGTGGAGGGTCGGCACCGTCTGCAGCTTCTCATCTTTGTCCATCATCCACGACTCTCTGTGGTAGGACAAGGGGTCTCCTACCTGGAAGCAGCATGGGCAGGAGGAAGAAAAACAGCAGGATAAGAAGGGAGAAGAGACATCTTAAAACAGGAGTCAGAGCTGAAAAACAATTATTACAATGGCAAGAAGCAAAATTGAAGAAAACCACTCAGAGGTACTTAGCATCAGCAATTTATGCCTGAAACACTATTCAGTTACATCACAGCTGGAAATTTTGGCTTTCTATTTAATTTATTGAACGTTATTTTAAATAAAACCTGTATATATGTGCCGGTTTTTGTTTTGTTTTGTTTTGTTTTAAGTCCAAACTTGAAGAATATAGAAACAAAAAAACGTTTAACAATTAAGTGCTATTATTGTAGTAGTATTATGAAAATATTGTGGTTTTGTTTAACCCTTTATACGCTGTCACTGTTGTTGAAATATTGCATCATTCTGGCCCAAAAGCATGTAGATGTGGTAGCAGGATTAGTGCTTTCATCAAATACCTGCCACAGCCAGGCCATATGTGTATACTGCCTCCTGGTGGCCGATCTACGTGCGAGCAAGAGCCAGTTTTATGTATTTATTACTGTTAGATTGTAATACAGTTACACAATAAAACAAAACTGAGTACTGCAGGTATTATTTTAACATAAGTCAATAATAGCACAGATTTAAATACTAGATTATCTATTAGTTTGTTTTTAATTATTTTTTTCTATAAATGGTTTATGGTGTACTTCTGGCTATCCCACCCACCACCCCGGTCCACTTTGTCTCTAAGTTTCAAAGGCACTGGAGCTCACCTGCAACAGCTCCATGATGAATATTAGAGGCTGAGGATTTCTCATGAGCTCGTCCAGCTCAGGGAAACCAGTGGAGTGATAGTGGAACAGGTTTCCCATGCCACACATGTGTCTCTGACCCTCCAGGGGGTCTTTTCCCTGAGCGATCAGTCTCATTCCCTTTGACACGATGGGATACAGGCCTGTGTGCTGCAAAAGTAGTGCATCAACAACAACGTGAACAAAAAATAAAACAATTAAGCACTTAATCAAGCACCTCTCCCCTGACACACACACACACACACACACACACACACACACACACGCTCCAGGCTTGTGCCAATCACTTTTGCACAAAAAAAAAACCACTCAGTCTCAATTTTACTTGCTAATGACATTTTTCTCCAGGAGGAGAAAAGCATACATTTGCACTAATTTGCTGTTTGTTTATTTTACTGTGACTTATAGGAAACTGCTGAAGGCTGGCTCATGTATCCAACATAATGACAAGTAAAAGCTTCCCTTATAAGCTCATGGGGACTCTTGTATCTCACAAAATGTGCATAAAGCCTGATTTCTAACTCACAGTGGCATCGCACCAAAATTCAGCCACTTCTCCAACCCTCATGGACATCAGCATTGGCTCCCACACTTCCATCTTGAACATCTTTCCGACAAAAATCTCAGCTGGTCTGCCGGCCAGTCGACTGTCATCGATTACCGTCCTCTCAAAGCTGTCCAGGAGTGTTTGGAAATGGAAAACCAGCTTAGATGATAAGAGAAAAGGAGGATTAACAGAAGGCAAAAAGGATATAATCCACAAAGCACATTTTGTCAGGACCAATAAGTGAGTCAGGTGAAGCTTGCCATCAAAGTATGCGATAATTAAAGGAGTAGAAACGTAATCATTATACATCTTCAATGAAAACCAGCTAATATGTTTGCAATGACATTTTTTTAATTCTCTCTCTTTTGCAAATAAAGCTCAAGCTGCTTCAGCCAGAATAATCTGCCCTTTTGTCCCATCGCTCATCCTCTGTGGTAAATATTAGTCATTCCTGCAGGTCCATTCCACTCATCACCTCTGCTTTTCCGCTTTTCCATGCTGTCAGAGTAATTTCATCCTGAATATCTGCTCACCTCCCTCACCTCTTTTTGTCTTATTTCTTGAAACCAATCAGCCCATAGTCATCATCCTTTAAATACCATTTAAATACCACAATGATCCTGCTGGTGTCTCCAAACCGCGACCTCCAGCCTGTGCTGGGGCGATTGATAGCCGAGTGGGAAGTTATTAGAATTAGAGGTCAGGGTCCTCAACTGGAAAAAAGTTGGAATACTTGGGAGTGAGTCTTTGCCTCAAGGAACCAAGTTCAAGTTTGGGGTCCTATTCACGAGTAATGTGAGATGGACTAGTTTTTGTAGATAGGGTTTCGTCTGTTGGGGTGAAGAAGAGATGAAGGAAAATGCCACGACTTTGATTTGGTCCATCGATGTTTCCAACCTTCACTTTTGGTTATGAGATTTTGACCAAAAGAATGAGATCTGAGATTGGTGTTGCTAAATGAGCTTCCTCCATGGGGGCGGGCTCAGCCCGGGTTACGGGAGGATCTTAGGGTATAGAGTCTGCTGCTCCTCATCAAAGCTGCCTCCCTCTGGAGGTTTCCTTAACGTGTCCCACTAGGAGACTCATGGGCAGACCCAGAACTTGCTGAAGGGATTTTATGTTAGTTCTGTGCACTTTGGGAGCCCTTTAGGAGGAGTCGGAGAATCTTTGAGAGAAGTGAGGTTTCCTTCCGGGCGTGTTACCTCAACAACCCGGTCTTGGTTAAATGGAATGAGAGAGATGGATGGCTGAGTAGATTATTATTCCTTTTCTCTTCCATCTGCTTCTCATCTGGGTTCTTCAGCAGGTCTCCGCTGTCCTCACTTCTCTGCTAGAGCCTGAACTCCTGGGGGTTTGGTTTATTTCTCCTACCATCATTGTGCTTTGATGTTGTTGCTCATCGGCCTGTGAAAGGCTCTTTAATACACAACGTGACTCGTAAGCTTCTAAATGCCTAAACACATATATCATTCATAAAATGGATTATCATTAAAAAAGGGACAAAGAATAAAACTGTGGTGATGACCATCAACCACATCATCTAAGCGCTCTGTTTTAGAAAGCTAACCAGCTGCAGCTGTTATTTATTTTTGATCTCTTTTCATTTTGAAGGAAGACCTTTAATGAATAACTAATTTAAGTTTCTTCTGCTTGTGAATTACATAAGGGACTCCCAGCAACTCGGTCAGCTGGATCACACAGGTGAGTGGAAATTCATGCAGGCATTGTCACGGAAAATATTTGTCAGTGTCCAGGCTCAGTGCCATATGGCTGGATGGGAAGGGGGTAAAAGAGAGACCAGCAGATCAGTGGATGAACAGAGGCAGGGCGAAATAAAAAAAAAAACATGTTGCAATTGACCAAATGCTGTTTGCTCTGTGGGTGTGAGCCAGATAAAGCAAAAGATGTCTTCACTTTATAGATAATTCATGAGAATTCTGGTACATGGAAACCTCTAAAAATAGAGACTAAACACCAATTCTATGATCACGTAGGTCATCAGATTAGCTGTCATTTAGGATACCTTAGTCCCAGGTGGAAAATGAGGCAGTGGTCCTGTGCCTCCAGCCAGGATTTTCTTCTTGACTCCAGGATAGTTGAGAAGGAACATCTCCTCCATTGCCTTTGTGAAGTTCTAGTATCCAACAGAGAAGTTTGTGTGTTTAGATCCTTTCCCCTTTTTTCAGAGTGCAACTCTGGCTTTTCTAATTAGCCCAGTGAAGAGAGTCTTGGCTGGTTTTCTGCTCTCTGACAGATGGCAGGATTAAGCAGGGTTTGGAGATGGCCACTTTAATCTGTGGAGCTAATCCCTCGCCTACCCCTACGATTGGTAGGGCAGTCCCTGCAGGAGGAAGTGAGAGGCCAGACTTGTGGATAAGAAAGCTTCCACATCACTCCTGGACAACAAAAGCTCACTCTGGAAGCAGGGCAGGCTGACGGCTCGGTGATGGCTTAACTATGAGCCATGCAAGAGACCTGCACACAGCATCAGATTAAAGGAGAATGTTACTAGTGACTGCTTTTATTACAGCTGAACCACCTAATGGATTGCAAAACTAAATGTCAGCAAATGGTGAAAAAAATATATGAACTTTTATAGTCTGATTTAAATAATTTTATGTTAAAGGGACACTGCAACATTTTCTCGAGCCTTGTGCTAAAATGACCCTTTGGGTTGATGAAATGCCACCCAGCCCCTATCGCCCCCTGTGGCCAGAATATTCCACTTCAGCATCAGACTGACTTAAGAGAAGATGGAGCTGACATACCTGGCGCTGCAGTCTGCTTCCAGCACATTTCCTGCATGTTTTATGAACACAGCCGATTTGTTTAATTTAGTGCTGAATCACTCCTGTAGACACTAAAGAAGGCTGGGGAGACATTTCTGCTCTTAGATTAAGATGCTAAAGGGGCGAATGCACAGTGAGGATAGGTTTTGGGTTCAGTTCTGCAGGTACTAGGAGGTGGTAAAAGCAAGCCAAAACTGCCTAGTTCCTCTTTAAATAGCAAGCCACTAATGTATCACAAGCATGTTGTTTTTTATGAGATTTATAAATTATAGTGATGTGCAGCCTTTCACTAGAGGTTTGGTCCACTGGTCTCTCCATTCATCTGAGAGTTGGAGCTCTACTCAGCTTATCAGAAGAACCCAGATCAGCCGAAAGAGTCCTGGGGTCTCATTGATCAAACATTGCATAGAATCCTTACTAAAACCGTACTTAAGCTCAGCAAAAAAAATGTACTTACGCCAAATAGGTTTGTGATCTATCAAACATGGAGTACGTACAGCTGCACGCAATTTCCGCTTCATAAATCAGAGACTATCTAGAAAGGTTCTCAGCTGCTTTTTAGTCACATCCCTTATCACTTACTGCCATAAATAGTCAATGCAAAGTGCCTTGTGGATCTCATGCATATACATAAGCCGGCTTGTTGCAGCATTTCGATCCCGACCGCAGATCAAGGAAGCACTATTTCACAAGCAGAAACTAAGGTACTTGTGGGTGAGGTGGAGAAATGAAAGGAAGTGCTTTTGCAAAACAAATCAGAGAAAATCCGGAGTGGCACAGCATTGCTGAAGCCGTCAATGCTGAATTCTTCAGAGAGATCTGTGGTGGATATTAAAAATGATCTGATCAGGATTCAACCCCCAGACTCCCAGGTGAAAGTTACACGCACTAACCAGTCAGCCAAATGGGCATCTCTCTTTGATCAAGTAGCCAGGGCACATGACCAGTCGGGTCACAGTGACGGGACGCTCACACTTTCACAGACGCATGACATTCTGTCTCTATTTGCCCCCCTGCTGATATTCAGCATTCCGTATTCTGTGCTTCAGGCTGTGTGTGCGTGTGGGGGGTCTTGTTCTGTGTGAAAACAAAGCAGTACAAGTGATAATGCTGCTGGAATTCATTATTTTATCCTTCTCAGCAGCAGCACTGCAGGTGCTCTCCATGTCCAAAATGTGTGTAAGCCAGGTCCTTAGTCAACTTAAAGTTGCGCACATTTTTCTGCTAAGTTTTCTTTCATAAATCCCAAAGTTTGCGTGGAAAGTTGCTTACGCAGTTTTCCGACCCCGTTTTGTGCATAAGCAAGCTTGATAAATGAGGCCCCAGGCTGATTGTTAAGATGTTTTTGGGAGTTAATTTATTTGACGGGTCATGCCAACATTGTTTTGCACCATCATGCTTTTGATTTCTGTACTCCACACAGATTTGAGGAAGCTAGAACTAGCTAACGCTTTTACCCAACGTCACCTTCACATTTTAACACCATCTTTTTCTGTGATGTTGTCAACATTAAATATTCCTTATAGTTGGTGGGTCATGTTGCGTATGCAAACTAGAATAGCATTCCATCTAAAAATTTATTTAAGTCTACCAATCTTAAGTTCTGTCATTAATTTCCTCTAAATAAGAATTATTGAGAGCTGTACAACTTTCTTTTCATGTATGCCCCTTAGATAAAATTTAGAGCTTTAACAAGTTCTAAGTGAGACATTTTAGTATTTGCATAAATGTATTCAGTATCTCACTGTGAAACAAAAAGTACAGATTGGTTATTTGAGTGACATTAAAAGGAGCTAATTGATGCTTACTTTATTACTTTTAGGAAAAAAAAAGACTAGTATTTACTTGAACATTTATGAAGGATTTTTGCAAAGAAAAGCCTTTGTTTGGTCTTCAGAATAACTTGCAAAGGTTTAGCAGATTGTATTATTTTAATGTCTCATTTTAGTCTGTCAGCAGGATTAACCCATTTGTGCCCAAACTTTTTGCAGAGCCGTAATGCATGTCATTTTATCAGTTGAGTCCCTCTTAATTGTGTTATGTTTTTTTCAATTATGCAATTTTTTTGGAAGAAAATAGCATTTTTATGACTGGCAACTATATTGTTGCCAGTGGTCACGCAGCTTGTCAATAGGTGAAATGTCAGATAATAGGAATAGAGAAGTAATAATATCATAACCAGGGCTGACCCTGGGGCAATATTTTTCCCAGGGTGATGTCTTCCCAAGTGTGACTCCCTGGGATGGACTGGAGACCTGACCTGGGTGTCCCCTACCCCTCGCCCAAATACAGCTGGAGTTAAACATCAGCTCCTTGACCCACTGAGGAAAAGCTGTTTAGGAAACACGCGAGAGAGCAAGAGTAAAATCTGTCAAATGGGTAATTAATCACTTTTTCTTTCAAGTATGCCATTTAAACAGGTCTTAAAATGTTTAAGTTGGGGTAGATTTAAGAAAAAGATGACACTAGCTGGCTTGGCAATGAATTAAGGTGCCCATAAGGTAATAAACTACTAAAGCCAAACTTGTGAATCACATATTTGTACAAAACTGCACAGGGGAGCCAACTATGTTTTTATCGAGGGTATAAAAACTGATTTAATTTCTGTTATTTTAAGTCAAAGCCACAAAGAGCCACTGCGTGTGGCCCCAGAGGTGTGGGTGGATAGAGCAGTGGTATACGTGTAATGAACGAAAATCACTGAGGAGTTTGGTATTAAAACTCCTAGAAGTCACATGACTGCTGGTACTTTTGAGCTGATTTTACTTCACTCCGGTTTGTTTGTTTGTTTTTTGCAAATTTGAACACAGGAATATTGATGTTCTTTGCTTTTGATTCATTTTGATCATTTATTAGGGTGCAATTATATTTTATTTGCATGGTTCACGCTCATTTATTCTGTTAAATGTTACACTAAATCAACAATGAATACCAAAAACACAGATAGAATGAATGATGCTAACATTGGTCGTTAGTTTTTCCTTCTTTTCAGCAGCAGAGTGAAATAAAGTTAAAATGAATAAGATGAAGCTTTAATTTCAAGAAGGTATCTAAAGCAGATATTTATGTCTAGAGTGCACTCAGAAACTTGCAGAATTTTTATTTACTTAACAGAAAATGTCAAATATTAACACAGAAACATGAAAGCTGCAGATGTCACGTATTAAAAATGGCAAAATAACAAAAAAGACATGGCAAGTCTCCTAATGAAGTACAGCCTTCAGCCTAATCTCCTCCTCTTCCTCATCCTTGGAAGTAGCCTGGCTAAAGATGGCTTGAGACTGCCCCCTGCTGGTCACTTCTCAATCAGCGAGTCCAGCTGCTCCTGCAGGGAAGCCAGCTGTGAAAACACAAGACAGAAAATGTGACTGAGGTCCACAACTCAAGGTTATTGTACATGTAAAAAATCTTTAACAATTCATAATGAAATGTCTGCCTTCTTCTTAAACACACTCACCCAACAGTGTCTAAGCAAAACCCACAAAACAGCAAAAAAGCATTCTCATAAGTGGAATTAAGAATACTAAATGTTTTTAAAAACCAGAAACCTCAATGAAATCAACAAGCTCAAACTGACAACCTCACAAAGCTGCAAGAAGTAAAAAAATAAATACAAAAATATCACAATGGCACAGATTATTGGCAGTTACATACCTGCTCCATCTCCCGCTCCTCCTGCTGAATAATCTCATCCAGCAAGGCCTGGAAACGGTTCTGCAACCAGCAAGAGACAAAAAAAGGTTTGTACGAGTGGACACGCCGAGCCTCTTTAAACTGTGATGCCTTTAAATGTGCGTCTGCAGAGGCCTGCTCGTGTCGCTGCTTCCTCTCCGACAGAAGGGCCACTTAGAATGCCAGTAAGAGACAGCTGACCTTTTCCATGCCACTGTGATAATAACAACTAGTGATCAGGCTTTAATGGTCCCAAAGCACTATGAATTGAGAGCTCTAAATGGCAACATATAAAAAGGGTCACGTCTGCTCATGTTCGCCTCAGTGTAAAGTCTTCACCAAAGTGCAGCTGGCTGAAGATGCAGATCTTGTTCAGAGTTTTTCCTGCACATTGAGATTTAAACTGGAATTAGCTAGGGAGAAGATATGATATTTAAATGAATCAAATATATGAAAAAATATGTGCAATCAGTTATTTTTAATGCAGAATGTATATTGCATCAAGATTTTTGCATTCCAGCTCATTAGCTAATTTGCAATATTTTTATGTGTGTGTGCAGGGTCCGAAATTAAATTTTTTACTCACCGGCCAAGTTGGCCGGTAGATGATGAAAATCTACCAGCCAAGCATATTTTTTACCGGCCAAAATTCTAAATGATTTAGATCCACCTAAAGCATGTTATTCTATATTATGTTGATTCCAGACGGAGTGACAAAATAATTAAAACATCAATTAATAAGAAAAACAACTCTTTTGTCATTTTTACTATTTATTTATTTTTAGAGATGTTTTTATGAACTCTTTCATTGAAATCTAGTCAGACTCCTTGTTTTCTCTGTCCATGAAGTCTGGCCTCCTGCTTCTGACACCGTCTTTGTGCCAAAGCATTACAGCCTCATTTGGGTCATAGTCACTTCAATTCAATTCAATTCAAGTTTATTTATATAGCGCCAAATCACGACAAGAGTCGTCTCAAGGCACTTCACATAATAAACATTCCAATTCACAGTTCATTAAGCCAATCAGAAATAGTTTCCTATATAAGGAACCCAGCAAATTGCATCAAGTCACTGACTAGTGTCAGTGACTTTACAGCAATCCTCATACTAAGCAAGCATGCAGCGACAGTAGAGAGGAAAACTCCCTTTTAACAGGAAGAAATCTCCAGAGAATCCTGGCTCAGTATAAGCAGCCATCCTCCACGACTCACTGGGGATCGAGAAGACAGAGCAGGCGCGCGCGCGCGCACACACACACACACACACACACACACACACACACACACACACACACACACACACACACACACACACACACACACACACACACACACACACAATAATGTGTCTATAGTTCTATTGTGATGTCTTAGTAAATATTATGTTTGGTGAGATCAACTTTATTGTATTTATCCTAGTGGATCTCTAATTAAATGGGTAAACTAGCAGTAACACGTCCAACGTCAAGGAAAGCAAAAAGTTATTATCAGGAGAAGGAGAATGTTTAAGTGGATAGCAGCAGTGTGCTAGACAGCCCCCTCCATGAGGGCCAAGAGGTCCTTGATCTCTGGAGAACACAGCTGCACCATGAGAATATCTGAAAGTGTCAGGGCTAGGGTTGTCACGGTAACCAGTGTAGCAGTAAACCCCGGTAAAAAAGTAGACAATAATAATAACCGTCTTGTTTTAAAAAATATATATATTATCTCGGTGGATTACCGTGGCTGCGGTGTAGGCGCGGTGACCCTTACCAGCCACCGTATCATCTGCTGGAAGTTACCGGCGGCACATGCGCGCTTTGTTGTTTACGACCAAAACTTTCTTGAAGCCAAAGCTGAAATAATGGCAGGAGGAGACGGCAGCACTTGGGACATTTATTATCCCTCAAAGAAGACAAAGTGGGAAGTACGGGCATTTTTTGGATATTTGAAGAATGCCGAGGGACAGTTGATAGAAGACGGCTATCCTGTTTGCAGCACGTGCAGAAAAAAAGTGTCTGTGAAAGGCAGCAACGCTACGTGGCCATCATAATGTAGCCATTGTCTCACGACTCCGCCATCTCCAGTTCGCCACTTTTCACAAAATCTGGTTGCCACTGGTCCTGGTGGTTTTTCTTCCAGTTCGACGAGTTTTCTTTTGGAAGGCTGGCTGACTCCAGTTAAAAACCGCCACATTTCACCGCTAGTTTTAACACGAAGCTAACTGCTAACTTGATAAACTGATTGAATGGGATAGGTGGAAATGACATTGGATGCGGCGCTCACGTTTCGCGCACGTTTGTGTACGTTGCATGCAGGCGGGAGGAGTATCACAGAAATCCATGGAAGATGACTGATAAACATAACTAATTTGGTGCAAACATTTACTCGCCAGGTGGCAGATAGAGCTCAAAAATTTACTCGCCAAATGGAGCAATTTGCTCGCATTTGGCGAGTGGCGAGTGTTAATTTCGGACCCTGTGTGTGTGTTTTAGTGATTTCATGCAATTCAGGAGCAAAAAGAAAGCATTGGCCACTTACTTTCAGGGCCTGGTTTTCCACCTTCATGATGAGCTCTTCCTGTTGTTTCTTGCGGGCAAGAGTTTCCTGAAGCTTGGCCTTTATGTTGTTAATCTGCACCTGGTACTCCATAACTGCAGAAAACAGCAGGAGGCCAACGTGTTAAAAAAGGTCCTAAAACAACTCAGAAAAAAACAATGGTCTGGCATCGCTTGATGCAACTAAACAACTCTGGAGAACAATGCATGCATGACTGCAGATTAAGTAAATTAAACCTTCTAGGGAACGATTGGTCTGTTTAACGGATGATGCACCAGCAGCAGTGACGCATTATGAGACAATTAAATCAGTTTGCTGTAGGTTCAACAAAGAGAGTTACAATTAATTCAATTCAACTGATTCCCACTAACCTGTAGCTGCACTGGCTCCATATTTTTCTAACTAATTGCATCCATTCACTGCTTATTTCCACTGGTGCTCAATTTTCCAATGCAGTTGCTGTATTGTGCTAAATTAAGCAGCAAGGGGCCCTTGCTGCACCATTTATTACAAGCCTGCACAGCAGCTGGAATCATGGCAAACCATTCTGCAACATATTGGAAAACGCTCTGCCTGGATGCTGGTCTGCAGCTGACCAGTGGAGTTGCTGACTGACAGCTTCACGTATGCAGATAAGGAGGCCCGGCGCTGTCAGACCGGACAGCTGTCTGAGCTGCATGCCGCGCTGCAACACCTGTCAGCCTGGTTGGTTAAGGAGGAGAGCTGAGAGCTGTCAGTGTGTTCGTCTGCAGGGTGCAGCAGCATGCGCGTTTACGGGGAAGCCAGGCTATTTCTTTGACTGTGTGTGATGTCTGACCTAGAAAGCTCACTTCTTATTAAAAGTTCAAACACTTGGTTCCGTTTATTTTTTACATCTGCTTCGACAAGTACCTAGGGGTGATCTGATTTAATTTAATGTCTGACTTTCTTCCAAAGTCCAACCTTGTTGCTGTGACCACTCTGACAAAAAAATTAACAACCAAGTTGGCTAAGAGATTGAACATTTACCCTGAGGTGTGAGTTGCAAGCACAGCATGAAAGATTGCATAATCCAACACAGCACTTGCTTCATTCAGCTAGGTATGTAGGTTATTTGGAAGTAAAGAGATTCAAATTTGAGTCTGCACTTTACGTGCAGACGTTTCCTGGAACCTGCAACCTGAAAATGTTTAAACAGGTAAATGAAAATGATAATTTACAGACCAGGGGCCTCATTTATAAAGCTTGCTTGCACAGAAAACAAGGTTTGAAAACTGCATAAGTGACTTTCCATGCAAACGTGACTTATTCAGAAAAACTTGACAGAATAATTGTGCGCAAATTCAAGCAAACACTGGACCTGGCGTGAGTACGCTTTGGACACAGGAAACCTGGCCATGATACAGAAAGCAGAAACTGCGTGCAGCTGTGAGTGAGCAGAGTATTATAGGTCGTAGTAAACTAGTTTGCGTGAGTAATTTATTCTTTACTGAGCTTAAGTAGGGTTTTGGTAAGGATTCTATGCAAAGTTTTATAAACGAGGCCCACATTGCATTTTAGAAAAAGGTTAAACAGCTTTAAAGTGTGAGATTATTCTCCCCCACACTGCTGACCTTGTGATGAACAACGACCAAACTTCTAATTCTCACCTATCTGGTTGTTTCTGTCGCTTTCATGCTGAGCAGAATCCGACTCGTTGAGCTTTTCCTGGAGCTGTCGCACTAGATCATCCTCTGTGTCCATGATATTCAGGTCCTCGTCTTCATGCCGGTCCCCTTCGTCCTCCTCTTCCTCACTTGAGCTGCTGATGTCGTTGAAGATCTCCCTCAGCTCGTCGCGCGGGACTGGCCGTGCAGAGCACAACGGTGTTATTAACAACAACACACAGACAAGACACGCTGAAACTCTGAAAACTAAGATGGCTTTGAATTCCCTTGGAGACACCAAAGTTTATAAAAAGATAACATTTTTGGTCTGTTGGTCATTGACGGAAAACATCCTGGAGTCCAAACATCCAGAATAATCTTCTCTGATCTCTAAACCCAAACCTTGACTGTTTGGGCGTTTTGTAAAAACTGACATGAAGATCATCATGTTTTATTAATTTCCTTTTTAATAAAAAAAAATATCTCAGCACAAATAAAATCACAAAATAAGGTGTTTTTCATTTTAAAGGCCATTAAAAAAAACTTGTAACATTTAAAATTTGTCAAAAGTTTCTTAAGTGGACAGTCTAAATTGAAAAGGCTACAAACTGTAAGCAGCACTGGTAAAGTATATGGAAGCAACTAAGGAAGTGTATTGGTGAAATGATGGTGATACGATAAGAATCACGATACGGGGAGGCGATACGATATATCCCGATATATTGCGATACATTCAGTCAGACGATATCAGCGATTTTTTTAGGCTGAATTTATTGTAGGAAAATTCAATAAACAGTCAAAACTGATACTTATCATGTTTAACATGAGGTATCTGACCCATGATAGAGGGATTTACAATTCAATGGTGGAAACAGAACCCATTGTACACTGCTGCCAACTAGTGGTCGGCATTTGATTTGCACCAAAAGAAAAGTTAATACACACGTTTGCATGTAAATTCTTCCAAAAATTAGATACACAGCTTTTGAATATCGATATATCGCAGGAAAAAAGATCACGATATATTGCTATATCAATATTTTCTTACATCCCTAGAAGCAACATATGACTGAATGCGTCTATAAGCAAACAATACATGCATACGAATGTATAAAGATCTGATCTATGCTAGCTTTTCCTGAGGGACTAAAGCAGAAATTCAGGCTTTTCGTCCTTTCAGGATTTATGTATGGTTTTATAGAAAGCAGTCACAATCAGAGTCTTAATCTGTACCCCAGATTTGTCAACAAAGTCCATACCAGCTGTTCATCAAACAGAACGTGTATTTACATTTACCTGAGGACCCGTGACCCTTATGTCCTGAAGTACCAGGTGAAGAGTCCAGATTAGCCAGAGACCCATGCTGGTCTGCTTCTTTGGACTCATCCTCTGCTATAATTTCCCATCCTGAACATCTTGAGTTAGGGCCAATCTTTAAAAAAATCCAACACTAAAATACCTCAAATCCTGTGAGATGAACCTAAATAAGCTCTTCTATGAATCACACCTGAGGGACAACATTTAGCAACAAAAACATAAACAGAATCTAGTTTCTCTGTGACCAAACAATAATGAACCGACCGTCTCAATAACACACAGCAAGCAGCCAGACAAAGCCGCTCCGCTGTGCTCTTATTCTGTCAGAAATGTTCAGGGTTTCATTAGAGCTCTAATAGCTTCTTTTCACACAGTGTCTGCCTCACAAAAGCATCACACGGAGCCAGATAAAGAGAGCTGGGTGGGACGGAGTCTGCTGGGTCTTGGATTAAATGTGAGATATTAAATTCTGTGTACATCACAGTTAAGTTTGAGATTGTCAGGTTTTCACCACAGCCTCGACAGAGACTACTGTCATACATAATACTGCTGAGCACTGTTTTCTGCTCATCCTCTCAGGACATTGGGGGGGGGGGGGGTTGAGGTGTGGACCAAGCTCTGGTATTTATTCAATGTCTGAATATTCCAAATTCATCCGAGATCAATGCAAGCTCTGACATTCTTCTTTGTTGTTTTCCTATTGTCCAATAAGGTCCTTAGCAATAGCTTGGGCTAGTGTTGTTCTGCGGTTAGCATTACCGTGACCAACGTTTATATATTAGTGATGCTGAAGTGGGATGGAACATGTAAATTTAAGGGGTGTGTCCTGCTTATGACATGTTAACCAGCTTTTCTCAGAACACACCATTTCCCCGCAGGCATTACAACATCACTAATGTACATGTGAAAGCAGATCAGAGACGGTGTAGGTACCAGATCTACTCAGGGTGCCCGATGTGCTCAGGGGCCTGCCGATGACATCGCACTACAGCAATGCCTCTCGGACAAAATACATTGCACATCTTTTTCGATACTGTTCTTCCAGACATAGGTTTTGGAAAGAGTTTAGCAGATTTGTTATTAAATATTTTTTTCTTTATAACTAACTTGTTAATGAAACACCATATTTCCTGTTTTGCAAAACATGTGAAACTACATGAAATCAGCATCAAACTGTCCCAAGAACCTCTCAACAATTCTAATGTGATTTTTTATGCAGTTACTGAAGCTGTTTACATAAATGTGGACTTTTTCTGTATACATCGTTAGTTCTTACATTTTATACTTGCTATTTGTTCAGTTAAGTTCTTAACTAACTAAATTTTGTTAGCCTGCCCTGCCAGACTCGTCCTCTGTTCTACACAGTAAACAGGTCTGGTTACTCACAGGCAGAGAGGCACATGAGAGGCAGGACTAGCCAACTCAAAAATAACCAATCAGAAAAAAAGGCGGAAATGATGACTGTAACGCGCGACGCTGAAGTTTTTTTTTTTAGCTGTAGTCAAAAATGGCTTCTGGCGACAGCGCAAAGATCTTTCTTTAGAAGAAAGTCTTTTAGCTCTTCTACAGCGAACTCCGCTTCAGAAGCCGTCTTCGTTGTTTATGAGAAACTCATCGTTACGGTGTGTTTCGTACGCTGCTCAGCACTGATTTGCTTGGTTCGAATTCTCCGGGGGGGGGGGTCATTTGAATAGGAGAGTTCCCAGCTAGCTGGTCAGGCTACAATTTCGCCCCATTTCATCAAAGCTGTTTTTTGCTTTTATTTCAATTTCCTTTTGGCAATATAAACATATTCGCCCCATAAACCTAATTTCTAAAACTTTTGTATAAACATCTCCATGGTCTCTTTTTGTCTTTACAGCTGTATTGTTTCCAAACAACCCTTTTAGTTTGCTGGACGGTAACAGGTTAGGGAGATTTTCATGATGTTTTGTACTGTGGGAGTCGAAAAGGATACGAACGCTGACAGCATCAGCATCTGTACTCAGTAATCTCTTCACTTCCTTTTCCACATCAGGAGATTCAATGTACTGCAAAACAAACAGAGTTCAGGTTACTTCTTAACCACACAAACACACATGCAAACACACACACACACACCCTCACAAAAAACTGTTGGATCCAAGCCAGGAAGTACTTTTGTGATTAAAAACATGAAGAGCCAAATCAATATTGCTCAGCACCTTCAGGAAGATCTATTCAAAAGACAAAGTAAAAGTGTCACACTCAAGCTTGTTCACTTTCACTCTGATCAAAGCAGTAGTGAAATTGCCTTTTTGCATGCCTTTGGAGGAAAGATGGAACACTTTATATGTTAATCTTGGTTTTCACTTTCACCACAGAGGCTGTTTTATGAAAAGTACATTTGGAGCAGAGCTTAAGAAATATATGAATCATCAAACAATATGCCAAAGAAACAGCAGGGCAATGGGGAAGAGGGTGGGATTTTAAAAATGTCTACCTTCTTTTTGGCTGTTTTCCGAAATCGTCGCTTGCGCGTGTTCTTCAGTGGGCAGGTTACTGACGACCAAAACAAAAGAGTTAGCAAAGTGAAAATGATTCAATCAGCTGAGGAGGCAAAGTCTGCATCCACAACTGCTGACATGTGACTTTTTCTTTAGAACAAATTATTAAAAATTCAGTTATGCAGAGATATTCATCAGCTTACTGCCATGATTCCAAATGAATTTCTTGTCCTTGTCTTTATCTTTCTTTTTGCTCTTGGGGTCGGTGCCAGTTGGCTCCTCCAGCGGAGGAAAAAGGTCTCCATCTAGTGTACACACCAGCATCTAAATAAAAATAAAAATAATAGACTGGTCAATTGTCGTTGTTGTTTGTTTTGTTTTTGCCCGTGTGTTTGTGGAGTTAAAATTTTGTGTTTCTAAAATTGTAGGAGGGGTTTGGAAATCCATAATCTTATGCTTCTACCTTCCCCCTACTCAAAATAGTTCTGATTTATTTTAGTTGTTTTTTTACAGTGCATATAGGTTTGAGCATGCATTTTCCATTTTATTTCTAATAAGTGCAAACATTAAATCATAGAGTGGTGGTTTACCTGGCAGACATCAGCAGTCTTGTAAAACGTTTTCTTATCTACAGTTTTCAGAGACTCAATCATACAAGGTAAGTCCACCAGTTTGCAGGCCAAAGGAACACGGTCCACTCTCACTATTCCGTGGCGACCATCAGCTGTAAATGAAAGAAGCAAATGATTGAGATTTGTTGTAAGTTGCTGAAGTATCGACAGCTGGTGTCACTGATGGGCTGTACTAAAGACCAGAAAAGACAAGATTACTAAAGAATTACCAAACCACATATAAAAATCTACAAACACACTTCTCACACACAGGCCAGTTTTATGACTACTGATCTTACGGTGCAACTCGATGGTAAGTCTGTCTTTTATGTTCATACTCCCAGATTGTGCAATTCTTCTTACTGTTGAAGCATACTCCTGCAAAATAAACAGAATAAAGTAAATGAACACATCATTTTAAACTCCAAGTCAAAGTGGATTTCACCGAGTGGTCATACCGAAGGAAGTCTCAGGACAAACTGGCTTTCCAGCTCATAGGGAGCATCTTCTTTGCTCTTTGAGCCAACCTTTCCCACTAGAACCAAAACACATGACAGTAAAAACACAGAACAAATGATCCAATATATTTTCAACTGGAGAGCATTGAAATAATCGGCTGCCTCTTTGGGGCTTGAACTAAAATTGCAAACATATAAAAATAGACTAAAATCACCCACAGCATGTTGGCATAAAGACAGAATGCCTAATGCTTGATCATTTAAATTGACAACACAGGATTGTTGGGGTTCAGTAAATATTGACACCATTCTGTCAGCATCATTACTTTGTTTGCTTTTGCAGATATTCTACTGCGACATACTCATTTGGAATCTAAAATGTATAAATTGTGCAAATCTGTACAATAATATGCTAAACTTTACCGACAAGGTTACTGAGTGAGAAGAATCTGTTATGTTTACCAGATTTTGTTCATATAATTGTGTTTTCATTCAATGCAAACATGAACAGTGTGGAAATACTGGGAAATACAAAAACACTACAGAGCATGTGCACATCACAAAAGCGAGTGATACACAAACTACATAGGGTTGGATATTTGGATCATGCTAATTATTTATTTTTAAAATCAAATTTATTGATATAATAAAAAACATCCTAAGAATGCCCAGGTCAAGACAATTAGTTACCGTTGAGCTGAGGAGAGAGCTAAACTTTAGAAAACCAGCCTTTAGGACTCACTAGCCGTTTTTTAACAAATAAATAATACATTATGAATGAGCTGAATGGAGTAGTCTCGGCACTGCTTCTGTTCTACATTTAACATATTATTATGGCACTATGACACTATAACTATGACACATCTGACTTCAGGTACAAGTCTCAGTCTTGCCATCTGCAGAAATTCTCTGATGACTCTGCCATCGTGGGCTGTATCAGGGATGGTCAGGTGGTGGAGTACAGGAGTGTGGTGGACAGCTTTGTTGAGTGGTGTGAGCGAAACCACCTACAACTTAACATCACAAAGACTAAAGAACTGATTATGGACTTTAGGAAGCAGGCCCCACCTCCTACTCCTGTCACCATAAGAGGGGCTGACGTTGAGATCGTTGAGGACTACAGGTACCTGGGTGTACACTTGGACTGTAAACTGGACTGGACTAAGAACACCAATGCTATCTTCAAAAAAGGGCAGAGTCAGCTTTTTCTTCTGAGGCAGCTCAGATCCTTCAATGTTAGTAGTAAAATGCTGACCATGTTCTACCACTCGGTGTTGGAGAGCATTGTGTTCTTTGCAGCTGTGTGAGGAGAATGCTAAAAAAGCTTCTCTCTATCTTGGACAACCCCTCCCACCCCATGCACGCCCACATGATTGACCATCGAAGCAAACGCAGCAAAAGACTCATTGCCCCGAAATGCAGAACTGACCGCCACAGGAAATCCTTCATACCGGTGGCAATAGGATTGTTTAACTCTTCCTCATCCTGTAGGTGATCCTCTAATACCGTTACCTGGGTTATTCTGTTCCCTCCCAGACTGTGCAATATCACCCAAGAGTTCTTATTGTAAATATGTTTTTATCCCCCCATCATATCATGTGAATGTGTGTGTGAATGGGTGAATGACTGGTTGTGTTGTAAAGTGCCTTGGGGGGTTCCAGGACTCTAGAAGGCGCTATATCAAATACAGGCCATTTACCATTTACCATATCATATGCTGCTACTACCCCTAATTCTATTACACAATACTTTAATCACTTTTGTGAATCGCCTGCACCAACGGCTTAATTACTTATTCACCAGGATACAGTCATGTATTTATTTGTTGAGTTATCCGATTGTTTGTTTTGCACTATCCTACAGGGTACTACTGTAGATTATTTTTTACTGTATATATTGTATATCATATTTCTATTTCACCTGTTCCTTTGTCTCTCCTACTGCTTTGAGCATGTACATGACACAAGAATTTCCCTCGGGATAAATAAAGTTGTTCTTATCTTAAAACTAAAAAAGGGTAACAGTTTTGCAGCAATCCGAGTAGAAAGTAATTTAAACAATAACAGATAATATTTATGACTCATTACTTTTATACTCATTATTTTATTTATTTATTTGTTCCATTAATTTATGAGGCGCTGCAAATATCAATCTCATAACCTGTGTGACAGATTCTGAGGAAGCAGCTTAGTTCAAATTAACAGTTTCCATGGTAAACATTTTTACAGTTTTTAAGTAACTAAGCTGAACAGAATACAGCTTCAAACCATACGAGTGGATCTGATAAGCCCCAGTAAGGAAAAACTAACGAACGAGGAAATAGTGGGATACATTTATTTTACCGTTTAAACATTTAAGCATGTTTAGCAACGTGAAGCTAATGTAGCATTAATTCATTCATTGATCATATAGCGTTGACTTATCAGTGACTTTGCTTCACACAGTACACCTTCAGTTGTGTTTTGTGCTACAACCACTTGAATCAGTCACACATGTTTTCATTTCAAATAGAAAAGAATAACTAACAATAAACCCATTGCTGTTAGCAAAGCGGGCTAAAAGCTAGAGCTACGTACCTTTAATTTTCGACGTCATCCTTAATTTTGTATTTTAAAAGGTGCCACTTCGTAAAGGTTTTCAGATAAAGAAATTCAGGTAAAAGCTAATCATGTTTCAGATAAAACAACGCTGATTTAGCTCCTTGAACCAATCGAAAATCCTAAAATTACGCTTGTAATTTTGCTGCATTAAATTTACCTCGGAAAATTGACAATACTATTATGTTGACTTTATAGAAAGTACATTTACTCAGTGGTTTTCATCAAACAAAACTCTGAAATGCATAATTTCAGTAAGTTAAAACACTTGAAAATGCATTTCATCCACTATTGATAGAATATATATATACATATTTTTAAGCGATTAGTATATGTTACGTTCAACTTCTGTAGGTAGAAATTTTCTGGTGGCTTTAAACGCAACAATCAAAACGTCAATTCTTTATTCTTGTATCGCGAGATTTGCCAACACTTCTGTAGCGAATCTAAAATTAAGTGAGATTTTACTTTTAAAAATATTTTCTAATCTATATTTTCAACGACTACTAATAATAATTGCCCTTAAAAGACCGTCTAGTCAACAAAAAATTAACGTAGAAAAAATAATGTCATGCTCACTTCCTTTTAGAAACTAACCTGAGGTTTCAGAATAAGAGTTGGTTACAATAAAAATCGCTATCCCTGTGAAAACCTCATCAAGATATAAATATGTGTAATCGTGTTTATTTTTATTATTTGTCAAACAAATAGATGAATTAATGTTTGTAAATACATTTTCAACATTTTGGTCGAAGGAGCTTGAAAGACTGAGAACCTTCACAGACATATTTTCAACATTTTATTTGCAACGTTCTGATTGTGCTTTTAAACTGAAATATTTTCCACCTTCGGGGGGGGGGGGGGGGAGTTTCTTCACTTCCGGGTTAGTCACCGTGTTGCCGTCCTTAGTGGTTATTTTGGCCTGAATCGTTTTAGTTTTGAAGACCGTGCTGGATTTACTAGCGGAGAAGCTAAAATGGAGTTTAGGGTGACTTTCAGCGGCTCCAGGAGAGCTGCTAGGACGCTGTGGTTTCTCATCCTGATGAGCCTGTGCTTGTTCATCACTGTTTGCCGAGCATCATCTCCTCAGGAGGAGGAGGACAGTGCCATGCAGAACATTGTCACGGAGAAAAGGGCTGAGGAGAGCCACAGACAAGACAGCGCAGACCTGCTCATCTTCATCCTGCTCCTCACCCTCACCATCTTAACCATCTGGCTGTTCAAACACCGGCGGTTCAGATTTCTGCATGAAACCGGACTGGCGATGATTTATGGTGAGATGCTTTAGCGAAACACTCGCCATCAGAGCCGTTATTATATTATGACGCATCTTAACCAGCCCTGAAGCTGCTATTTACAACTTTGGCTACAGCTGTTTAAATTGTGACAGTTTACTCACAGGTTCGTGTAGATGTTTAACATGTCTAAAGACCACCCTTGTCCCCATAGAAAAGGAATAATCTACGCAGCAGCTGCAGCTAAAAGCACCTGACTGATCATTTACTTCCTCGCTCCACTCTGTTCTACCTGAGTCCCGTTTTAAGTCAGACGTCAACACTGTTTTCAGTTGTTTCAGATTCAAAAAACGTTTGTCTCAATGTCTTTTCAGGACACGACCTGTTATCATGTTGCTGAGCTTTGCCTTAACCGTAGTAAAAGTTTCAGTGAGTAAAAAAAATTTCGAGAGCTTGCATTTTTACACAGCAAACATTGTGCAGTTTCTCAACTAGAGATTGGTATGTAGAAGTAATCGTCAGCCGGTGGCTGATATGTGCTGCATATTATTTTGCCCAGTTTTTAAGGCTGATTTTTAGATCTTTTCTGCCTTATTTGCATGCTAAACGTAGGGATGTCCCGATACAACTTTTCACTTCCGATACGATACCGATATTGCAGCCTTCAGTACTGACAGATATCGATATCAATCCGATATGATATCAGCACAAATCATACATACTTGAAAGGCTTGATCAAGTGATATTACTCAGAGAAGAAAAGCCAGCAAAAGTAAGTATGAAATAAACACATTTTTTATTCAACCATTGTTCCATAAATGTAAACCTTGGACATAATGTATAACAAATGAATTAAATAGTAAGTTCAAAGACTCTGAAAAATATTTTAAGTAAATAAATAAACAAAAAGATATCCTTTAAAGTGCAAAATACAAATTCAAGGTCACTTCAGGTATTTATTTACTGTCAGCAAATGGTAGGGACAGCTTAGGGCAGGGTTATTAAAAAGAATACACTAAATTGTTCATTGATTAACCACTACAAGTTGAGTGTCTAAAGTTTCAATTTCACACACTGAGAAAATCCTCATGCAATGTTTTGTGATCCTGCTTCAAATGCACAATAAGGTTGGACGTATTAATATTCCCTGGTTCTGTTCATCCATGGGAAACTTGTGCATGACAAGAGTTGCACCGAACCAAACTGTCTTTTTTGGACTTTAACGAAAAATACAGCCACATGGCCGACATTGCTCCTTGCTATTTTGCTAGCACACATTGTTTTGATCACGTGGGATTGCTGGATAGAAATTCTGGAATGGAATTTAAAGTGGAACGTATTGCTAATATCGGAGATTTTAGATGCAGTCCGATATAATCGATACAGTGTTTTTGGGCCGATATCCCAATTCAATATCAGAACGGGACATCCCTAAAGTGGTTGGACGTATTTAACTTCCCTGGTTCTGTTCCACCATGGGAAACAGTCTGTCACACGGCTGACATTGCTCCTGCTTCTTGCTACATTACTAGTGCGCTCTGTTCTGATCATGTGAGCTTTGTATGCTGGATCTGGGCGCTGCTGGATAGTTGCTGGAATGAAATTTAAAGCAGAAAGTACTGCTAGTATCTGAGATTTTTGATGCAGTCCGATATAATCCAATACAGCGTTTTTGGGGTGATGTCGGACATATTTCCGATATCGATGTCGGAACGGAATATCCCTACTAAAATAATAACAACAGCTGATGCGCATTTCTGAACCTCAACCAGTATTTTAACACTAAATTTAACCAAGTCTTGAATCTTAGTTCTCTGCACTGCTCAGTATTAAAAATCAAATATTTAACCAAAGTTAAACAGTTCAACAAACTGATCAAGTATTACATTAAAAAACAAGTAAAGGCTGAAAATGTTGTTTTAGAACATTTATTATGCTGGCATTTTTCAGAAATGTAAATATACATTTAAATGTAGTTTTGCAGCAGCACTGGGCTGCCCCTGGGTATGCCTGATTTTAAATGTGTTCTACTAAAGAGCCGTTGTCGGTACAGGATCTACTCGGGTGCAAGATTGGCTCGGGGTCCTTCGACTGCCGATGACTTCAAAGTACGGCAAACCCCCTCGAACAAAATACACTACACATCTTTATACTGTTGGAAAGAATTTAGCAGTTTCGTTATTAAAATAATGTTTCTTAAGACGTAAGTTTGTGTTTATAATGGTATTTGTAAAATAAAACACTATATTGTATTCATAATGTTGAACTCCTCTTTGAGCACATCCCTTGAAGGATCGTAGGTATTAGCAACACCTGTGAAATTGTATTTGCAGGAAAGAAGTGTGTCCCGTTTATTGAAGTATTTTGTGTTTAGAGTTTTTGACGTCTTGTCCATGCGTAGTTCAGTTACGCTCATAGCTGCTAGCCAAAACTCTGGAGTTAAAAGTTTTCTGGCTTTACTAAAATACCTGTCTGTACTTATTTGATTGGTGGTAGTTTTACTTTCTATTATACTCCAAATGTAATCATTTGGCACGTTTCTAATTCATAATTTGTAATAATGTAATCAGTGATATTAGCATTAGCATTCCTATGGGTTTTTCCACATATATTAGCATTGCGCTAACCACTCGCTGCCAAATTGCAGCCTTTGCGATTAGAAAATCTCCTTTTGTCACATCGCAATTTAATTGCACATGCAGTTAATCATTCAGCCCTAATATACATGCAGCTCTATGCTAAAAGTGTATTTTCAAAGAGGTAATGATGGATTTCTTAGTAAAAGTTGTCCATCTTTCCAACAGAAAGATTTGCCTGGACCAACGTAACGTGATAACAACGTAACGTGATTACTAGGGCTGGGCAAAACGATTATTTTTGTAATCGATTAATCTAGCGATTATTTTTTCGATGCATCGATTAATCTAACGATTAATTTGTTAATTTGATTAGATTAAATTATTGATTATTTCCCAATTATTTGACTTGTATAGCAGTTTGATTATTACTAATTTATGTATCTCAATGAAATAAATGCAAATTTCTTCATTTGAACACATTTTAATAAAAAAATAAAAAAATAAAGTTGTTTTAATAGTAGTACAATCTTATGTTAGAGATAACATTTAACAAAAAATCATATGTTTTGCAAACTATTCATATAAATCAAGGATAATTTATAACAAAAAAATATATATAAATAGCAGCAATGGCGTCTTTTAACAAACAAAATCTAACATAAGTAACCTAAGTAGGACTCTGTGACTAGACTTGTCCAAGCATCAGTGGTAAAGGAGATTTTGGATGAGGCCTTTTTTAGTTCGTTCCTTAGTTTCTCAGCTGAAGTTTGATGCTTTCTCTCCATCATGCTTGTAAAATGGCGCCTAGAAGGCAGAGTGTAACCTGGTTGAAAAGTGGTCAGCATTTCTTTGAATCCTTCACCCTCAACCACAGCAAGTGGCCTCATGTCTTTCAGAATCATAGATAGGACGCTCTCAGTAAGTACAGCCACCTCCTGGGGGGTGCAGGGTGTTCTTTTCTGACGGTAGTCCTCCAGACTTTTCTGTTTGTTCCTGAAAACATAAATCACACAGACAACACACAGATAAATTAAAATTATTACAAAAATATTTATGTAGAAAGCATAATATCAAAATAATAATTTGAAGATCTGTAATTCAGTGTTTTCTCAAAATATTTAATCTATAAGATTTGTTAAAAAAGGTTTTTAACACAAAATGCTGCACATTTTTGTAGTCATTAGATGGTGCAACTTAGATCTATAAGATCAACAAGCTGGAGGAGCATGATGTATAAAAAATAACGTTCGAACAGGATGAGGCATTAAACTTGACAATCAAGAGTCCGTTGTCATTTTGCTTTTGCAAGCACTTCAACAATATTGTAATAATGTCCACGACGGCTACATTTAGCAGGTGCTACATTGTCTTTGTTAACATTTTTACTGCGGACAATTAGCGCTCTCCCACATTTTCAGCTCTCGCTGATTCTCATAATCAGCACGTGCACATTCCGACTCATTTGGCCATCATGAGCCACGAATAAAAACAAACAAAACAGATAACAGCTGCTGCTATATGTTACTGCTAAGCAGCTTAAATGAGGGTTAGTGAGTTCCAGGGGTTGAGTGTTTATCTTTGTGTGAGAGTGGGTCTGCTTGTGTGTGTGAGTTAGTGCATGGCTACGTGGGGTGTTTGGATGTTATAAAACAGCGTTAGTAAAAAAAAAAAAAAAAAAGTTGAAAACTTACGGTGTTTTTTCGTTTGCCGAAGCTGCTCCTGGATGCCTTTGTTTGAGGTGCTGGTGCATAGCCGTCGTGCTTATATGATAGGCCATTTCCACTTTACACAGCCAGCAAACGACCGAATTGCTTCCTTTTCTGTTAAAATAGTCCCATACCTTTGAACTGCGAGTTCGGGTTGAGTGATTTAAGTCGACTGCCCCGCTCATGTTTCCACTACTCGCCGCTGCCATGTTTGTTTTTGAACGTGATGACGCATCGACGCAAATAATTTGCGTCGACGTATTTTACGTGTCGACGTAATCGATCACGTCGACGCGTCGTCCCGGCCCTAGTGATTACGTAATTCCGTAAGGTTCATGTTCATCCAATCAACTACTTTTGACGTCATCGGCAGTCGACGGACCCCGAGCCGACCTTGCACCCGAGCAGATCTTGTAACGACACCGTATTGGCTAGTGGTCTATCCCTAGGAACAGTCCGCCTGTATCTGATCAAACGGCTGACTGATTTCACATTGACTCAGCAGAATTACAAAAAAAAAAATTTTAATCAGTTTTTTTTAATTATCTGATTTTAAAGGTTGATCATAAAGAGATTAAATGTAATATGTTGAAACATTTTAATATTTTGCATTTTCTGATGTAACATAATGTTATTTTATTTTATAAAGCTGAGATAGACGTGTGAAAAGATAAGTTATTGGTTGTGTAAAACAATTTTAATTTTAATTCAGCATTATCAACTGATCTAAGGGTTTGAAAGTAAATTAATAAACAGTTCCGCCCAAAAGCAAAGTTCTGTGTGCCAGAAAATGTATCTGCATCTTTTCACATTCATAACATGTTTGAAACAAATTTAACTCATGAAGCCAAAGAAAATAAAAACAAAATAAAATCGTAGTGCAACAAAACCTCTGGAGCTTTTTTCACCTGATTTTTACTTTTAAAAATACAATGTGTAGTTTTTACCATTAATCTATGAAAATATCAATCAAAATGTTGTTGAAAATTAATTAAATGAATCCAAGTTGTTGAAAAATATTGGTGACTTCGTAACATATAACCATAAAAATCTGGTCTAAAATACATGGGAGATCTCTGGGTGACACGCCATATTAGATGTCATGTTTCCTTCTATGGGAGCCCATGAGGACTAAATGCATTTACTGATTTGTAACAAACGGTTACAAGACTTTCGTCATTCTTAAATGTTGTTGTTTTACACATTTACCTCTTCACTTATTGCCAGTGATGAAAGGGAATCTGATGTGCTTGTTATTTTGCTGAAGTTTGTACTCCCCAAGGCTTTTTGACCTTAATGGGCATCCATTGGTGAGGTCTTACTCCCAACACATTAATACTGCTTGCTTGCAACAATTTAGGTATCTACTGCCCACTATCACCAGGAAAAATACACGCTGTAACTTTAACAGCGATTGTCTCCAACTCCCACTTCTTTTCCTTATATTTTTCCTCTTTTTTCAGGCCTGATTGTTGGTGTAATCTTGAGATATGCAGTGCACGTCCCTCGGGACGTTGGCACGGCCTCAATGGGCTGTTTTGTGAACATCAGCCCTGCCACCCTGCTGGTCAACATCAGTGGGAAATTCTACGAGTACACTCTGAAAGGGGAGATCAGCGCCAACCTGGTGAACGACGTGCAAGATAACGAGATGCTACGTAAGGTACAGACTGTTTACTGAGACCGTTCAGGTGTCACCTCCCGAACTTCCCCCTGAACTCATTGGTTTATTTTGTTGGAATCCATTGTTCCTAAAACAGCACTTCCTGTTGAGTGTGTTGTTTCATGACTTTCTAAATGTGTGATCTTTCATCAAATAATTAAGTTATCAATCAATGCAGCAGCACTGAAGTATTAATATCCATAGCTTATTTATTCATTTATTCACAATTTCATCTTTTTCTGTGTGACTTAGGTGACCTTTGACCCTGAAGTGTTCTTCAATATTCTGCTGCCGCCCATCATCTTCCATGCTGGCTACAGCTTGAAAAGGGTACAGTTTCTACTCAGGCACTGATTTGTTTATATAAAAACATTTTGATTCCTAACAAAAGTCTTTTGGGGACACATCCATAACTGATGTTTTACATTATTTCTCAGAGACATTTCTTCCGGAACATGGGATCCATCCTGGCTTATGCCTTTGTGGGGACAGTCATCTCCTGTTTTGTTATTGGGTACGAATGTGTGTTTTGTCCCTTTGTGTTTTTACATGCGAGTCTTTGTGGAGTTAAAGTGATGATGGATGGAATGGATGTGTGGTCCTCCAACAGGTTGTTGATGTATGGATGTGTGATGCTGATGAAGCAGTTCAGTCAGCTGGGTGGGGATTTCTTCTTCACCGACTGTCTGTTCTATGGAGCCATCGTCTCTGCCACCGACCCAGGTAAGAGTACACCTGTCCTGTTAGCTATTACACATCAGTATTCTACTGGCTTGACAACTTGAACATAAAACAACGCACACACCTTTTATGGTCCTTGCACCTTTTTGCAACCACTTGATTTAATTTTTATTAGCAACTTGTACAACCATTTCCAGGATGATTATGATGATGATGATGCATAAAACCTGTGAGGACTGTAAAATACAAGCTTAAAAAATATCTGAGAGCTGAAGCAGTTCTGAAAACATTAAAACATCCTGTAAACTTTAATTAGGAGGCATTTAGTCATGATCAGAGTTTCTTTTCTGTTACCTGCCTAAACAAAACCCCTTTATCTAAACTAAATAAATCATATAATTGGATCTCGTGTGTAATTGTTTTGGTCACTTCTTCTCAGAAGCAATATTGTGTGTTTTCCAGTGACGGTCCTGGCGATATTCCACGAGCTGCAGGTAGACGCTGACATGTATGCGTTGCTGTTTGGAGAGAGCGTGCTCAACGATGCTGTGGCTGTGGTTCTGTCTTCGTAAGTCACCTGATTTTATTTGTAAATGCGCCGTCCACAAACCTTAGTGTCGTTGTGTGTTTTTTGACTTACCAGTGATGATAAACAAGTCATTTGTCATTTTCACTGTAAAACCTGATTAAACTGGAGTTGATCCATCAGATGATGCTGTCCTCCTCCACATGGAGCAGTTTTATGTTCCACAGAATTGCACAAGGAGAAAAGTAGGGAGCAAGGAGGAAGTGGGCCCTGCAGAAAAGCTCTGACTGGCCCACTGAGCAGAGCAGGGAATTGGGGGTCGCAGCTTAGCCTGAGGACATACATGACGAATCACAGACTAGACTCTGGCTTTTCCAAATACATGATTTTTCGTTATTTGTGTATTTTTAATCTTGTGAGTCAGCTAAGAAAACATTTCTGAACCTTTTTGTTTTATTTTAAGAGATTCTGAGAGGCAAGGAGGCAACATGAAACATGCTCAAAGACAAAGCGTGTGTGTGTGTGTGTGTGTGTGTGCATGTGCATGCATGCATGCATATGCACACACGCACATGCATGCATGCATGCACATGCATCCGAGTGTGTGTGTTTTGAGGGTATGAAAAGGGTTTTGTTCAGATAACATCTGAGCTTCTATTTAAATATGTATTACATGGTTTTCTTTGTCACTGCCAGTTAACATACAGACTTCCGATTAGTCATGATTGGTTTTATGACACGTTTGACCCGATTTTGATTGCAGCTTGTTTCTGCTTGTTTATGTTAGGCAGTTCAGATAGGTAAAGTGACACAAAGTTGTTGAACTCTGAAAACATTTTTGACTACATCACCAAAAACAAATCTATACTCTCTTTTTCCTTCTTTGACAGAAACGTTCTTTACAATTTTCCACCTTCAACTTGGATTTAACAGGATGAACACTTTGATGCGTGCACGTTTCATCTTTTCCTTTGAATTTGTTATTTTCAGACTTTTCAAGTTGTAATAATGAGTCATCCTTCCTGAACTATCAGTGTGGAGGCCATCAGAGCTTTTCTGATTAATCATGGGACAGCTTCTAATGAATCTTAATGCTGATTGGTTGAAGTAATTATAGACACACATGTACTTGAAGTGCTAGATGTTGTTGAAAAAGAAGAGATAGGGTTGTGATGATCTTTTTTAGAAATGTTATTGAAGATATAAGCAGAAAACAATGACAAGTGTCAGGTAACCACTGATAACAGAAGCAGACGAGGGAATTAAAGATAAATACATACAATAAAACACCACTAGCTTTTGTGAGAATGAGAAATAAAATGTATTTATTAGAAATTATGAGAATCACGAGTGGGATTGCTTAAGTGACTGTGATATTGTTTCTAAAGGATCCAAATTCTATTCAGAGCTGAAGTTTCCTGTGGGTGGTGATCAGAGATCTTTTAGATAAATGCTCATGATGAAACTTGGAGATACGATCCTAAAGTTCAGCCTGATACAACTGTTTTGAGTTGCAAAGTGAATGTTTTCTGTCTGTAAGTAATTAAGTTTACTCAGAAAAAAATCTCTGAACTATAATTTAGTTAGTCTATGTTCAGTAGCTTACAGTCACTATGCTTTTACGTATGTTTTCGCCCATCAAGTATTTGTGTTGTGTGACATGTCAGGTCCATCGTGGCGTACCAGCCACAAGGAGACAACAGTCACACCTTTGAGGTCATGGCATTGCTCAAGTCTTTTGGGATGTTCCTGGGAGTTTTCAGCGGCTCATTTTCTCTGGGAGTGGCCACTGGAGTCGTTACAGCTCTCATATCCTTTGTTGGTTTGGTCAGCATCGGGGCTGAAAAGTTAGAAGTTAGGGCTGGGCAATAAATAGAAAATTTATCATTATCAAAATTTCTGACTCTTATAAAAAATTTCCATGTTAATACATTTGATAATGAAAAACGTTAGGTTATGAATATAACCACTGTTCCCTGAAGGAAAGGAAAGAAGTACAACGAAGGTACTATGGGACATCACGCCCTCGCGTGGCCTGGCTGAAGACACATTTAATCACGCCTGTAAGGCAAATGAAAGTGAAGCTGCGTGGAGGCCCCGCCCTCCACTGATAAGCGACCGCGTCACTGTCATTCCTCAGTTCGATAGCCGCTCTTCACCGAGCTGGGCTGTGAATGGGACAGCCCTGCGTTGTACCTCGTTCCTCTCCTTCAGGGAACAGTGGTTATATTCATAACCTAATGTTCCCTTTCAGTCGATTCACTCCGTACAATGAAGGTACTATGGGACTTCCAAAACATCCAATCGGTGAAACCTCACAAAGGTGTGGGGTGTAGCCCAACTTGCAGCTGAGCAAATGTCACCAACTGAAACACCTTTAAACATCGCCCAAGAAGCAGCCACACCTCTAATAGAGTGTGCCCTGACCCCTAGGGGCAGCTGGGAGCCAGTGACGCTGTAACACAGGGAAATGGCCTCCACAATCCAATGAGAAACTCTTTGCTTCGACAAAGCTTTACCCATGGAGGGTTTGGCAAAACACAAACAGTTGGTCTATTTTTCTGATACTCAGAGTGCAACTTATATAAGCCTGCAGAGCACGAACCAGGCACAGACAATGCAGTCTCCTCTGCTCCTCAGAGGCAAAAGGAGGACTACTGAAGCCCAAAAGCTCTACAGGGAGTGCAGAATTATTAGGCAAATGAGTATTTTGTCCACATCATCCTCTTCATGCATGTTGTCTTACTCCAAGCTGTATAGGCTCGAAAGCCTACTACCAATTAAGCATATTAGGTGATGTGCATCTCTGTAATGAGAAGGGGTGTGGTCTAATGACATCAACACCCTACATCAGGTGTGCATAATTATTAGGCAACTTCCTTTCCTTTGGCAAAATGGGTCAAAAGAAGGACTTGACAGGCTCAGAAAGGTAAAAAAAAAATAGTGAGATATCTTGCAGAGGGATGCAGCAGTCTTAAAATTGCAAAGCTTCTGAAGCGTGATCATCGAACAATCAAGCGTTTCATTCAAAATAGTCAACAGGGTCGCAAGAAGCGTGTGGACAAACCAAGGCGCAAAATAACTGCCCATGAACTGACAAAAGTCAAGCGTGCAGCTGCCAAGATGCCACTTGCCACCAGTTTGGCCATATTTCAGAGCTGCAACATCACTGGAGTGCCCAAAAGCACAAGGTGTGCAATACTCAGAGACATGGCCAAGGTAAGAAAGGTCTGAACGACGACCACCACTGAACAAGACACACAAGCTGAAATGTCAAGACTGGGCCAAGAACTATCTCAAGACTGATTTTTCTAAGTTTTATGGACTGATGAAATGAGAGTGAGTCTTGATGGGCCAGATGGATGGGCCCGTGGCTGGATTGGTAAAGGGCAGAGAGCTCCAGTCCGACTCAGACGCCAGCAAGGTGGAGGTGGAGTACTGGTTTGGGCTGGTATCATCAAAGATGAGCTTGTGGGGCCTTTTCGGGTTGAGGATGGAGTCGAGCTCAACTCCCAGTCCTACTGCCAGTTTCTGGAAGATACCTTCTTCAAGCAGTGGTACAGGAAGAAGTCTGCATCCTTCAAGAAAAACATGATTTTCATGCAGGACAATGCTCCATCACACGCGTCCAAGTACTCCACAGCGTGGCTGGCAAGAAAGGGTATAAAAGAAGAAAAACTAATGACATGGCCTCCTTGTTCACCTGATCTGAACCCCATTGAGAACCTGTGATCCATCATCAAATGTGAGGTTTACAAGGAGGGAAAACAGTACACCTCTCTGAACAGTGTCTGGGAGGCTGTGGTTGCTGCTGCACGCAATGTTGATGGTGAACAGATCAAAACACTGACAGAATCCATGGATGGCAGGCTTTTGAGTGTCCTTGCAAAGAAAGGCGGCTATATTGGTCGCTGATTTGTTTTTGAATGTCAAATGTATATTTGTGAATGTGGAGATGTTATATTGGTTTCACTGGTAAAAAATAAATAATTGAAATGGGTATATATTTATTTTTTGTTAAGTTGCCTAATAATTATGCACAGTAATAGTCACCTGCACACACAGATATCCCCCTAAAATAGCTAAAACTAAAAACTACTTCCAAAAAAAAGCTTTGATATTAATGAGTTGTTTGGGTTAATTGAGAACATGGTTGTTGTTCAATAATAAAATTATTCCTCAAAATACAACTTGCCTAATAATTCTGCACTCCCTGTATGGTCATGAAACCGTAGTTGAGTGGGATGACCTTAGGCAAATACGCAGCATTCTGATGCAGAGTGACCCTAGCTCCATCTGATGACATTTTCAGACAGGAAGGGCGAACTGAAAGAGCATGAAGGTCTCCCACCCTTTTAGCTGATACAAGGGCTAAGAGTAGAGCTGTCTTATAAGACAGAAGCTTCATACTGATCGATTCAATAGGCTCAAATGGGGGACCACACAGGTTCTCCAGCACCAAAGAGAGGTCCCAAGAAAGGACAGACGATCTAATAATGGGTCTCAGTCTGCGAACCCCTTTCATGAACCGAACGGCTAAAGGGTGAGCGCCAGGAGAAACTCCATTAAAAGATTCATGGCAAGCCGAAATGGCTGCCAGGTAGACCTTTAAAGTGGAGAATGACAAGCCCTTGTCCAGCAGATCCTGTAGGAATGACAGAATGTCCACAATGGAGCTCTGTGAGGGAACTACTAACCTGTTCAGACACCACACTTCAAAAGCCTTCCACTTATAGGCATATAAACCCCTAGTGATGAATGCTCTTGAGCTCTGAATAGTATTCACCACAGCCGGGGAAAGACCTTTAGCTAACAAGTTGGACCTTTCAGTAGGTAGGGCTGCAGCTTCCACAGATGTGGGTGAGGGTGCAGCACTTCCCCTTGTGCCTGTGACAGAAGGTCCTGTCTGATGGGGAGCTTCCATGGGGGGGGGGGGGGCTATCATCAGACTGATGATCTCCGGGCACCAAGACTTTGTGGACCTCTGAGGGGCCACCAAAATCAGAGATGTGCTTGACTTGCACACTCTCCAGTACTGCTGGAATCAGTTCCACCAGCGGAAAAGCGTAGAGGAGAACGTTGGGTCAAGGGTGCACCAGAGCAACCGATCCCATTGGAGCAGTCTGATCCGTCAGGGGAAAGAACAGGGGACATTGTGTGTTTGCGCTTGACGCAAACAGATCCACTACTGCCCTGTCGAACCTCAGCCAAATCTGAGACACCACCTCGGGATGGAGCCTCCATTCCTTTGACAGAGGTCTGCCCCGTGGTTGAGGTACACGGGGACATAAGCTGCTCTGAGAGACAGCAGATTCAGATTGCACCAGTGCAGCAAAGTGTGGGTCAGATTCAGTAGAGGAAGAGAGCATGTTCCTACCTGTCTGTTTACATATGACACCACAGTTGTGTTGTCTGTGCGCACCAGCACATGTTGTCCGCTCAGGTGATGACTGAAGTGTTTCAGGGCCAGAAACACAGTTAACAGTTCCAGAAAGTTGATATGGAACCTTGACTGGGTCGAGGACCATACCCCCCTCACAGCTAAACCCCCACACAGAGCCCCCCAGCCTCAGAGGGAAGCGTCTGTGGTCACCACTATGCGTTCTGACACCCTCCCGATAGGGGAACCCTGGTAGAACAGCCCTGGTTCTCTCCATGGGAGGAGAGCTACCATGCAGGCTCTGGTGACCGTCAACTTCCGGCAGAGATGACGTGAAGGATGGAGATGATGAAAGCAGACCCAAGGTTAAAAATGTCGCATTTTTATCAGTCCGAGAGGCACCACGGCTATGGACGAAGCCAGCAGCTGTAGAGCCGTACGGAGTGTCAGTCTGGCTCCCAGCTGAAAGCGCGCTAAGCAGCTGCGTAGCGCGGCTATTCGCTGGTCCAAGAGACGCGCTCTGCTTGACCGAGAGCAAATTTCCAGCCTGAGGAAGGAGAAACTCTGGCTCGGAACTAGAGAACTCTTTCTGTAGTTCATGGAAAACCCGAGGACTTGAACGTGGGAAAGTACCCGTGCAGTGTGAGCTTCTGCCTGTGTTCCAGAACTCGCTACTAGAACCCAGTCGTCTAGGTAAGCGAGGATCCGGATGCCCTCCTCCCTGAGGGGGGCTAGTGCGGCTTCCACACATTTCGAAAGGGTGCGGGGCGCTAGAGCTAACCCAAAAGGCAGAACCATGTACTCATAGGCCTTCCCTTCGAAAGCAAAGCGCAGGAACCGTCTGTGATCGGGGTGGATTCCCACATGGAAATGAGCATCTGTGAGATCGATCGTAGTAAACCAATCTCCGGGACTGACTGTATCGAGTAGCTGTTTAAGTGTTAGCATTTTACACCTGTACGTGCGCAGATACGTGTTTAACACACGCAGATCCAAAATAGGGCGAAGGCCGCCCCCCTTTTTCGGGACAACAAAGTAGCGGCTGTACCAACCTTTGTTTGTGTCCTCGTCAGGGACTGCTCGAATAGCTCCTTTCAACAGAAGAGTCTGAATTTCCTCCCGTAACATGCCTGCAGCATCGGTATTTACATGTCTGCACAACAAAGGTAAATGTGGGTGGTTTGACCAGGAGCTGCAGTCGGTAACCCATGGCAACTGTGCGCTCAACCCAGGGAGACACTGTGCATGCTCGCCAGAGGTGAAGTTTCGTCGCGAGGCAACCGCTCAGCGCCCTGGTGGGGTAGCTGCTGCTCTCTAGCGGAACGGGAGGCTTTCAGAACATCATGTCTGCCGTCGGAGGAAAGCTGCTGTTCTTCAGCAGAGCGGGAGAACACAGCTTTTCCCGCTCCCACAGAGGTCAAATGCAGACAGGATTTGATGTGAAAATTGAGCTGTCGTTCACCAGCTGAGCGGGTTGACGTAGCTTTATGGGGCCAATTTGAGAAGCATTGTTGACACACAGTGCATCCACACATTGTCGAGTGCAAACAGCAGTCTTTATTATATTTGTGTTTTTGCCCCCTGGGGGCAGGAAACAAAGTCACTTTGGACTGTGGGGTTGAACATTAGCTGAACCGGTCCGTTTCAACCATGGAAAACTGGGTTTTTGTAGCCCAGCAGGGTCCAAAACCCAAACAAGGTGGGTCCCGGGATCAGGACGACTGAGGTTTCTTCTTGCGGCTCACAGAGCATTTCTGTGAGTCCCCAGGAGGGCCTTTACTCCAAGCGGAGTGGCGAGGAGGGAAAGACTGGGTCCGAGCTGGGACCGAGCCCTTCGCTGCCGCTGGAGAGGCTGTCCTCTGGGGTGGAGGAGAGGTCGGGTTATTCCTGTCAGACCCAGGTGCTGTGCACCACCTTTCCCGCCTGGGGATGATGGAGTGTAGCGCCTCAGTCTGTTTCCGCTCGGCCTCGAACTTCGTCTGAATAGCGTTGAGAGACTGACCAAACAGACCACTGGGTGAAACAGGCTCGTCCAGGTAGTTAGCCCTGTCCCTGTCGGGGACATTAAAAAGGGTCAGCCACAGGTGCCTCTGAGCCACTACAGTTGAGGCCATTCCTCTTCCCAACAGCAGGGTGACACCTCGGGCCGCTTGCAGGATGTAGTCCGATGTGACCTGTATCTCATTGATGAGGGGGGTCAGTGGGCTGTCGGGTGGGACCCTTGCTCCAAGATCCGCCAGGCAAAGTGCTTGGTAGGCCTGGAGCATGGTGGAAGAGCTGAGAACATGGGCAGTGGAGGCCTGCGCACGGTAAATCTTCTCCAGTTGTGCAGGTGAGAAGCGACATGGATTGGAGGGTAGATTAGTTTGTCCACTAACTCCGTTATTGCAGGTCGGAGCCAGGTAAGCCGCGAGAGAGCGCTCCATCAGAGGGAGGTTAACCAATCCCGCCATTTCTGCGCTGTCGAGGTCCGAGAACTGACTGTAACCCAGAACCGTGGTGAAGGTGGATAGCGGCTTGGTCCAGGATGCCGTGAGCTCAGCCACAAAATCCGGGTACAGTAGCAGAAAGTTCTTTACCTCCGCTGGTTCCGAGGGGAGGTAAAATCCAGAGAAGCGAGACCTCTTTTGTGTAGGTGGAGGAGCGGGCCAGTCCACTTCTAGCCTCCCCGCTGCCCGCCGGCACAGCAGGAGAAAAGAAGTGTCATCACGCAGCTCGGAGGCTGAAGTAGCGGCCAGAGCTGAATACTCCACCGCCGAGAGGACCTCCTCGTCCTCGAGCTAGTCCTGACCGTCAGGGCAAATGTCCAAAATGTCTCCTTCATCCTCTGCCAGAGGGGGAAACTGAGAAGCCTCTAGGTCTGGTCCGGTTAAATTGTCCGCCATCTCCATCTGATCTGCCCAGCTAGTAGCGGGGACTGCGATCACTAGGCAGGCCACGTCAGAACCGGGCGAAGCCGGGGCCGAACGGAAAAGCATGGGGTCCTGCTGCGAAACTGCAGCATCTCCCAGGAGACGTTGTAGGAGCTTCATGCACCGTTCAAGCATGGGACGGCGGAGTCGGCGACAGAACTTGCACGGCTCTGGGTCCACAAGTGCTCTCCTGGTGTGGAGAATTCCCAGACAAACCAGGCACGCTTCGTGTAAGTCCTTCTCATGAAGAGAGAATCCACAGCCCTGAGGACACGGGCGCAAAGCGGCTTTCCGTGAAGCGACGTCCGGCACGGTGCTCATTGCGAGACACACAGCAGAGCGAAGTGGAGAAGCTGAAGAGCCGCGAAAGATAGCGCTCGCTGGGCGGGAATGCTTGCCAGAAGGCAGTAGAGTCCAGTCAGCGAGCGGTTAAGCTATCTTTCAATAGCGCAGCTAGTTGTCAGATGTGTTCTCAGCGAGGTGAAGAGCGTAAGAACTGAGGAATGACAGTGATGTGGTCACTTATAAGTGGAGGGCAGGGCCTCCACGCAGCATCACTTTCATTTGCCTTACAGGCATGATTAAATATGTCTTCAGCCAGGCCACACGAGGGCGTGATGTCCCACAGTACCTTCGTTGTACAGAGTGAATCGACTGAAAGGGAAATGAAAAGATGTGTGTAGGTTGTCAACATTCATGTCCCTTTAATAAGCTGTACCACCTTGAGTCACGTAAAAATGTGACTCAACGCGATGCATGTGACAGCCCCATCTAGTGGACAACTTTTGTTTGTGTGCATACCTGTAGTTATCGTCCATTTACCGTTATCGAGGTGAAATCCTCAATATATTGTGATATTGATTTTAGGCCATATCGCCCAGCCCTATTAGAAATGTTTTATTAGCAGACACTCTGTGGAAGCGTTTAGAAACAACTGACTGGTGTTATTGGAGTCTTTGACTTTTGTGTCTAAGTGACCAAGTTTACCAAGCTGAGGGATTTCCAGCTGCTGGAGACGGCACTGTTCTTCCTCATGTCATGGAGCACGTTTCTGCTGGCTGAAGCCTGTGGCTTCACAGGTAACACATACACACACAAACGCATGCACTCACAAACACACATACAAACACACACATGCACACACACACACACTTGTCTCTGTATCCTTGTGTGGACCCTCCATTGACTTCCATTCATTTTTGGACTCCCCTATGCCTACCCCTAACTATAACCAATGCTGTTCTCTTCCTAACCCCACTCTAAACCAAAAGATAATTCACACCATACATCTAAAACCAGGTTTAATGTGACGTGTGTAATTTCCTGGCGCTAGGCGGCAGTACATATATTTCAGTGTAGTTTTACACCATATCACCATGACTGTCGCTAGTTTAAAAAAACATTACAGTAAATGTTGTTACCTGTGGAGCAGAAAGCATGCTGCCTCAGCATGACTCCTCAGACACTGATGGTCGTTCAGTTGATTCCATGAGAGAATGCAATCTTGATCGTAGTTTTCTGGCACTGTTGTTACTGGATCTGCTTGGGATCCTTTGCCTGCCCATGACGTCATCATACTACGGCAATACCACTCATCAAAAATACATTGCATCTCTTTTTCTATTTGTTTTTTTCACATATGTTTAGGAAAAAAGTTTAGCAGTTTCTTTTATTAAAACTTAGGGGCAGCAGTAGCTCAACAGTTTGAGCAGGTTGTCCAGTAATTGGAAGGCTGCAAGTTCGATCCCGGCTCCGGACAGAGAATTCTGCTGTCGTGTCCTTTGGCAAGACACTTAACCCACCTTGCCTGCTGGTGGTGGTCGGAGGGACCGGTGGCGCCTGTGCTCGGCAGCCTCGCCTCTGTCAGTGTGCCCCAGGACAGCTCTGGCTACATCGTAGCTCTTCACCATCAGTGTGTGAATATGTGTGTGAATGTATGAATGATAAACTGTAGTGTAAAGCGCTTTGGAGTCCTTACTCTGAGAGGCGCTATACAAGTGCAGGTCATTTATCATTTAAATTTGTGTCTATTACCGCCTAAATGATTTCGAATGTGATAGCGTGACTTTCTTAAGTCATACATTCAGCCAATCATCTAGTAGGGATGTGTATTGGTGAAATTATGGCGATACGATACGTATCACAATACAGAGGAGACAATACGATATATCACGATGTATTGCGATGCACTCAGCCAGGTGATATTAGTGATTTTTTTAACTGAATTTATTGAAGGAAAATTCTATAAACAGTCCAAACTGATACTAACATGTTTAACATGAGGTATCTGAACCATGACAGGGGGATTTACGTTTCAATGGTGGAAACAGAACCCATTGTGTGACATCATCAATAGGTGCAGGAACCTGAGCTGGGCTGAAGGAAGCATGGTGTCCCCCAAAGATGTTAGACCTGCGCCTTATGTATTTTAGACCCGATTTTTATGGTTATGGCACCGACCCGCCAATATTTTTCAACAAATGGACATTATTTTATTCATTTTCATCAGCATTTTGATGGACATTTCCAGAGATTAACGGTACAAACTACTGATTGTCTCTTCAAAGGTATTTTGTCATTGTGTGGACCAGCCAACTTTCCCCACGATGTGGAAATGTCCACACACACTACATGGTAAAGATAAATTTGTCCACTTTAGCATATAAAGACAAGTACATGCACACATACTTGTCTCTATATCCTTCTGTGGACCTCCATTAACTTCCATTCATTTTAGTGACTCCACTATGCCTAACCCATTCCCTAACAATAACCTAACCCTGACCTAAACTTAAAGCTCATTCATACCATACCTCTAAAACCAAGTGTTAGGGTGTTTAGCATTGTTTGGACCTGCAAAATGTCCCCACAATGTGGAAATGTCCACACGTTACATTACAGGTTAGTTAAAATTTGCCCACTTAAACATATAAATACAAGTACACACACACACACACACACACACACACACACAAATACAAATTCTTAAATGGTTCAGCTCTGTTGAAATGTTCCTATCAAGAAAAAAACGGTTCTTGTGTGGATCAGAGGAGGTTTACTGCCAATTTATTTAATTTTTACTGATTGTTGATGCATTATTGTTCTGTTGTATTTTGCAGGTGTGGTGGCGGTTCTGTTCTGTGGAATCACTCAGGCCCACTACACCTTCAATAACCTGTCTCCTGAGTCTCAGGACCGAACGAAGCAGGTCAGGCCAGTTCTGCACTGACCACCCTCCTCCATGTTTTACGTTGTTGTTTAATTTATCTTTTTACTCATCTTTAAATAAAAAATCCTGTGTTTGTTACTGAAATAGAAAACAAGCTTTGGGTTTACAGATTTACGTTTGTTTAGAAGTGGAAATAACAGATGGGGCTTTTTCTTCTTTTCCGGTGAAGCTCAGAACGTCCTCACCGTTGCTATGATTGTGTCAAAACAAACACTGTAGCCTCCTTTTGTCATTGAACAGAAAAACAGAACCAATTTTTTCTGAACACCATCATTATTTATAATATCACAAACCAAAATTTTTTCAAAACATAAAACCATGAACTTTTGAAAGTGAAACAGTTGACGCTTGTTTTGTTCTCTTTCTTTTTGCAGCTGTTTGAGCTGTTAAATTTCCTGGCAGAGAACTTCATTTTCTCCTACATGGGTCTAACCCTGTTCACCTTCCAGAATCACATCTTTAATCCGATGTTCATCGTTGGAGCGTTTGTATCTTTCGAATGTTGTTTACTCAAAACCTGCAAATGATCTGCTTGATGACAGCAGTAAAGGTTTGTTTAGCTTTTGTAGAAACATTAAGATGACTCTTGAACTTGTATGAATTTAGAAGGTCTCAGTAATGCAAGCAGTAGTTTAAGATTAGCATAATTTTACTCTGCTTTGGTTTAGTGGTTTAGTAATGACGTTGGACACAAGAAATAGCTTTTTGTTCCGACGTTTTCCCTAACACTATTCCCACACAGCTAGCGGTTTTTGTGGGAAGAGCTGCGAACATCTACCCTCTTTCATTCCTCCTTAATCTGGGTCGACGTTACAAGATTAGATCAAACTTCCAGCACATGATGATGTTTGCAGGTTAGTGGAGCGCAGCTCTCACCTTACCTGTAAATGAACCTTGTTACTTTTTTATTTTTGTAAAGTTTGTTTTTGATGAGCACACTCGAAGGGTAAAAAAGGTGAGCTTGTATATAAAGTTTATTTTGAGACTTATCAAGACATCTTCCTTCTTTTTTTCTTAGGCCTGCGAGGTGCAATGACCTTTGCCCTCTCCATCAGGGACACAGCCACGTTCGCACGGCAGATGATGTTTTCCACCAATCTTCTTGTGGTCTTCTTTACTGTTTGGGTTTGTGGCGGTGGCACCACTCAGATGCTGTCCTGCCAGCGGATACGGTACGGGGTCTAAACGGGGATCTGCTGGTGGTTTAATATCAGGTTTTTCCCATTAATGTTTCTATTCTTACTTGATAATACCCTTAATTAAAATTACTCATCTACTATGGCTCCAGAATATTGGGGGGGGGGGGGGGGGGGGGGGATCATATAAAATGTTCTTTTAACCCTGTGAGATAAATTACAATATTAAAAGATGCTGCAATTTTCAACAGAGGCTTCAGTCCTACCCTTTGGAATTACTAAATAACAGCCAACTCATCGTTCAAAGCCTCACACCACTGAAAGAACAGAGCCGTCTTGACCAAAACCCACAAATGTCCAATCAAATTATTAGCTCACAAGTCTATTTTTCACATATATTAAAACATACCATAACCTTTGTTAGCATCCTCATATTAGCTTCAAACCTGTGATCTGACCTGATCCAGCAGGAGAAGTGTGCCCCCCCCCCCATCCGCTGAGGTAAAAGCTTCAGCTTTGGCTGATAGGTCAAAAATTCTTACATGTGACCAATGGAGTTTGAAAGAAAACAAAATCTCACATAACCAACCCCTCATGTAGTTTGCTTTTGCAAACTGAGGAACTGTGATTGGTGGATCGCTGCGTGTCAGGCATCCCTAACATTAAATGTGAGAATGTTGATTGTGACATTGCAGCAGAACCTGCAGGGCCTTTTATACTTCTCAGTCAACAAGTTTGCACTCGCATGCACACGTATTGACAGAGAAGTTTTCCTTTTATACTTCTCTGTTGGTGCAATTCTCCACCAGGACAGCAGATGGCGGAGCACTTTTCAGGGATATCCTGCCATCATTTCAGAGACAGACAAATGTGTCCCTCGTTGTCCTCCACCTCCAATCCCACGTGTCCTGTAATTTTCTGGCACATAAAAAGTTTGCTGCGTATCTTTGTACTCCTTCAGTCACAGGCATAAAAATGTTTTATATTGTCAGATGTTTTCCATGAGACGTTCTTCAATCTGCTCTGTGTCTGTTGCTAGATATCTTCATGGTTGTTTTTTGTTTTGTTTTGTTTTTGTTTTTGAGAGAGAGAGAAATGGCGGTACCGTTGACACAGTTAAAGGAAGCAGCATTCTGACCAATCACAGGCTTGCGGTCTTTGTTGCTGGATTAGAAAATTGGGCTCTACTCAGTCCTTGCGAACTTGTTGGAGAGCCCTTGTGACCACAGAACAGAACTTTTAGGGTTCAGTATGCCCAAGGATATTTCGGCACATGGCCAGCGAGGCTTAGGGATCAAACCTCTCACCTTCAGCGGTCCTTATGCGTCCACACACACGTCGTCTCTTTTATAGTTTTCAACACACAATACCAAGGATAGTAAAAAAAAAAAAACCCATGTTTACTGTGTCTGTAACGTATACTATTTTTAGCATATGTTTAGGTCATGGGGCTTCCACACGTACAGGATGAGAACATGAAGCTTTGCTTCATCACAATGACGTACAGAATGGGATGGAGAAAAATACAACAACTGAAAAAGTCTAAATGTACGCCCGTCTTCAGCAGACTGTTAATAATATGGTGTAAATATCAGATGAACAGATGAACTCTTATGGAATCTAACCCTGAAGTTTCCAAATGAAGCTGATTTGCTTTTATGCGTGTGTTTAAACAGAGTGGGTGTCGACTCTGATCAGGATAACTCTGTAAGTACGACACTTAACAGATATGTGATTGATGAATGAAGTCTGTTTAGAGTAATTATCGGTCTTGTCTCAGATGGGTCTAGCTGACGGATCGGAGAGAAGAAGCACCAAACAAGAAAGTGCCTGGCTTTTTAGAATTTGGTACAACTTCGACCACAAGTATCCTTTCATCATCAGCTGCTTGTGTCGAGTTACTTTTATCCCCAGGCAGCAGAGGGAGTCCTGCTTGTAAATGACCTCCTCTGTTAAGTCTGCAGAGTGACACTTTCACTTTTATGTTGATCCTTTTCTCTCTGCTGTTTCTAGTAACTTAATTCTCAGCATTTCCTCAACTCCAGCCTCTCTCCAGCTACCTGAAGCCCATCCTGACTCACAGTGGCCCCCCTCTCACCACCACTCTGCCTCCGTGCTGTGGCCCTGTCGCCCGCCTTCTGACCAGCCCTCAGGCCATTGAGGTTGGTTCACACTGGAGCTTTATTTATGTTTAATTCCATATCCGTATTCGTGAAAAGTGGTCTTGTTGGGACATTTACAAAGCAAATCGTATCAAGCTTATTATTTAACTAGACTGAATGGCCTCTGGGCTGCTGTAGGGTGGCAGCTACACGTTTTGGTTTTTCTGCACTTGGACTAGCCGTTAGCATAATAAATGTAAACAATTATTCACCGTTTATATTGTAAATTATTCTATTTCCCCCTTCAGAACGAGTGCCAGCTGAAGGACGACGACTCTGACCTCATCCTGACAGACGGCGACATCAACCTGAGCTACGGCGACATCACGGTCAGCACAGACGCCATGGGCGCCCACACCAACAGCGGTAGAAGCTTCTCCGGCACCGCCACTTCTGATGACTTGGACCGAGAGCTGGCGTACGGAGACCACGAGCTGGTGATGAGGGGAACCCGCCTGGTGCTGCCCATGGATGACTCGGAGCCGCCGTTCTCAGACTCCATTCGTAACTTACGGATGTGAAAATCATTCAAGACCCGGGTGTCTGTTTTAGATGGACTAACCTGAGTCACTGAGCAAAAGACGAGTACTCGACTCTCCTCTTTTTCACACTTCCTTATTTTATTTTTTATTTTTTTGCACTTTCCACATTCCGTTTGCCTTTTCTTGTGCTTCTCACTTCCTGTTTAGCCAGACTGCTGTCTCTACCTCATTCTACACCTCCCTGACATCAACCATTACCGTATTACAGTCATATTATTTTCATCTTGGCTCCGTTACCTTACTGTAGCATTGCACAGAGTTCTAGCAGCATGTGTCCGCGTGTGAGTGCAAACACCAACCACTAGTTAAATGATCAGTGTACAGTATATCTATGACGTTGTTATGCATGTGGAGGTTGCCAGTTGTTTTCAGAAGTTTAGAGCTCGTTTTTGTTATAGCTTTGGTTTTGACTCTGAATGTTGCTGCCTTTTCTCTGTGCACCAGAGGCGAGCTGACCCAGTGGAAATCTCTACTTTACATTTGGATAAAATCAAGTGCCTGGGAATTGTAGGTTTGTTTTTTTTAAGCATGGCAACCCTAATGCCGCATTAGTTCTTGCACACAAAACGCTGTTTTCTTTCCTTGCATTTAAAAAAAAAGAAAAAATAATAATAAAAACTCAACAGACGCCTCTGTCCATAAGGTAGCAATATACTCCGTGGGTGTTCACACTGTCAGTTTGTGCTGTTGTGCTTGTAAATAGTGTTAAGTGGCACCATGCCAGAGCTGGCAGTGAAAGTTGTGCAGTGACCTTAGACTGTGACATGGAGTTAGACTTCACACCTTATTTTAGCCGCTGACTCTGCTCACAGCAGAATGAAGGGCTGCTGAGGTGAAAATGAGCCGAAGTGAGAAAGCCTTGTGCCATTTCTCCTCCTGCACTCTGGCATTTTTAAGAAATCTGAGTCCACATGACCTTAAAGTGTGTGTTATGCTTTTTGAATCACCGTTTTCATACCCATTTAGCTTTTTTCCACACATTTTCTATCACAACTGTTGCATTTGTAGCAACAAATCATATTGTCTCATTTGATTAATTTATTTTAAAAAACATGAAGTTGCTTGCAATGATGTAAGAAAACAAATGACTTTTTAGTATTGCAAACTGGAATACTGGTACATTACATTGGGGGGGTTTGTAAAAGAAGATGGTGATGAGGGGAAATCAAATGTGAGCATACTTGCATTAGACCCTTTATACCAATTATGAAGTTGAACAGTCACTTCAGATCCTGACTTTGCTCAAAATTATAGCTTTATGGATCCTTTGTTCGGTACAGATGTTTTATTTTTGAACCGACCTAACGATTGCAGCCCTAAATGAGTAATTTGCATAAGACAAATCTACTTTTTAAAAATATGCTCTAATAAGTTCATTTTATATTTCATCATCTGGTCTGAGCTGATATGTGCACTGTTACTGTGACAGGTTGTTATTGTGCTTAAACGCTGGATTATCCCATGGGTCCTGCTAGTACGATGTGTAATGTTTAGACTGTTTCAGAGCATGGAAAGCTGGTCAGAAGAGCTTTTCTTTTTCGGGAAGCTCAGCAGCTGCTGACACGGCGTTAACAGGAAGCGTTGATGGGACGTCACCATAGCAACACTGTGTTTACGAGAGCAGAAGCCAGACAGCATTTGGTGACTTCGCTGAACGCAACAGTTTGTTGTGTTTCGGCTGCTTTGTGAGCCAAAGAAAATGAAAGGAGTGCATATGAGATGAATGCAGGAGTCGGATGAAGTGGTGAATTATTAAGCTGAGAGAAAGGGAGATTAATGACGGAGGAGTGGGACAGTGTTTAGTGTGTTTGTGTTTGAGATGATAGAGATGGAAGGAAGAGCTGGCGTGTACATTTCTCTTTTCCTTCCACGGTTATCTTCTGCTGTGCAGGAACTTCTAATTTTATATTATTTCTATTTTTAATTTTATCTCATGTGACATCATATACTTGATATTTTTGTTTATGGACTTTTTGGAGAGAAAACATCAATTTGCACTCATGTATTGAGAACCTTTTGTATATTATTATTTTCTCTGCTGCTTGTTTGTTGTTACCCTGATGATTCAGAAAGATTTTCTGATTTGTTCATGTTCAGTAGACAGAATTATTTCAGCGCTGCAGCAAATACGTCACACATCCACACATAGCATCGCTCTGTCTTATCAGGTAATGTGTGCTATGTTTGTTTGCAGCCAATCACTGTTTGAATGCTGTTGCCATAACGTCCACAGAGCCTGAATCATCTTCTACTGATGGACTCTTGTCTAATCGTGTGTTTTCTGACTGATGTGTTCAAATCTGGCCTCTGCTGAAAGCGGTCCACCTGTAGGTGTCTGTGGTTGACCTCCTACTCCTCCAGCCTCTGGTTCTGACTTCACCGTCTGAAAGATGGCTCGTGTTTATCTTTCATCATTAAAATTCTTGTCAGAAGTTGCTGACCAAAAAGGCCTGCCATGCTCCACGTTTTCATGCACTCCAGTCTCTCTTTATACTGCAAAATCCTCTGTGGGTGTTTGTGTGAATGTGTGTCCTAATGGCTGCGAGTGTATTTGAATGTGTGTGAGTTCGAGAGGCGTGTCTTTTTCCAGTTTGTTGCAGGTACTGACTGTTTACATCTGTGTAAATATGCCCTCACCTGTACTGTGTGCGTGCAATGATGAATAAACATGACTACAGCCCAGGTCTGATAGCCACCTTATTTATCCCAGTTGGATGTCAGGATCAGTAATGTTATCTGAAACCAGATGAGCTTAATCTTGAGTTGTAAAATTCAGAGAAAATACCTTTTGTTACACAGTTGTTGAAGGAAGAGAACACCAAAGATCTTCAGATGTACAAAAGGAGGGAAAAATCTGCTTCAATCTGGTTCTTTTATGTATTCTGTCGCGATGCGAGCAAGGAGGAGGTTAGGACCCAAAATGCAGAAACCCAGGATGACAGGAGGCAGGGGTGGAAGATGAAATAAAAATTCTTTATTTGGGGATAATCCAAAGGCAGGGAGCCAAAATCCAAAATCCATAAACTGAACGGGAGATCCAAAAACACTAGAGACACAAGAAGCTCTGGAAACACTAGAGATACAAGCAAGACGAGACTGACAGAAAAACATCACAATGGACCATCAAACATACAGAGACACAGACAAGGTTATGTACACTGGGAGGATGAGAGGGAGATGAACTGCAGGTGTGTGGGGAGAGAGAGACCAGGTGAAATCAATACTAATCAGGGAGAGGGCAGTGAGTTGAGGAGGAAGAAAATAAACATGATCTGAAACAGCACCTAAAAACAAGGAAGAGCCAAATAACAACCAACAATCTGGGCAGAGAAACACACCAAAAGAGACTGAAAAATAAACAGCTGAAACTAAAGGAAAACACTACAGAAAGAGACACTACAGGGGCGTGACTAAGGAGGACCACGGGGAGCACAGGACCTGGAGGGAGATACCTGGGGGGAAAGGAAAAAACTAGAGGGGCTGTAGTTCTGGGAACACATGAGGAAGACGCAGACAAGGACACATGAGGGTGCTAAGAGACACAAAAGGAGAACCTAGAGAGGGATGGAGAACACAAGGAGACACATGAGGAGAGACGCAGACCATGACATATTCTTATGAAAATAACGAGTGTTCTCATTTTAAGTTTACTTTCTACCCTACAAAAGGCCAGAAAACAGCTGCTTCTTTAGGTGTAATAACGTCATCTTAGGGCTGTCCAATATTATCCACCAATATTGGCATTAAAATTTATTTTTTCTATTTTACTGACAGAAATTTTACTTTCATGAACATATTATATACATCAAACTCTTCAGCTACTTTTGCTTTTCCTCTAAATGTCCAAATGAGACTGATCTGAGGTTTAGTTTTTGAGGCATTTTTGTTTGGCTCGACTGAAGAGACAGTACCCAAAAACGGCTCATTCTCAGTCTCCTCAGAACAGGGGTTGATGAGGGGTCTGTAGAGCAACAATAATGAGGAACTCGGACCAAAGAACTGCAGTTCCACTGTATTTAGACCGCAACTGAATGATTTAGATGCAAAAAGGAAGAATTTTAAAGGATGATATGTCTCCTTTAAATTACTTAGTATGTCTTTTTTTTTTTTAGAGGGGCCGCTTTCAAATATTCATATCGAGAATAAAGCAAATCAGCTTCTCTAAATCTGAGACCATGGTCTTGAATTGAAAAAAGGTAGAATGCCTTCCCCAGGTCTGGGATGAGGTCCTGCCCCAAGTGGAGGAGTTTAAGTATCTCAAGGTTCATGCGTGAGGGAAAGCGGAAGCATGAGATTGGCAGGCGGATTGGTGCTGTGTCTGCAGTGATGCAGGAGTTGTACTGATCTGTCGTGGTGAAGAGAGAGCTGAGCTGAAAAGCAAAGCTCTTGATTTACCGTTGGATCTACATTCCTACTCTCATCTATGGTCACGAGCTTTGGGTAGTGACCAAAAGAACAAGGTCATGGATACAAGTGGCCAAAATGAGTTTTCTTCGCAGGGTGGCTGGGCTCTCCTTTAGAGATGGGGTGAGAAGATCAGTCATCTGGGAGGGGCGCAGAGTAGACCCACTGCTCCTCTGCATCAAGAGGAGTCATTTTATGTGGCTCGGGCATCTGGTCAGGATGGTGAGGTTTTGCGGTACGTCCAACCAGGAGGAGGAGACTTAAAGGAAAACCCAGGACACACTGGAGGAACTATGTCCCTCAACTGGCCAGGGAAGACTTTAGGATTCCCCCGGAGGAGCTGGCCCAAGTGGCTGGGGAGAGGGAAGTCTGGGCCTCTTTGCTTAGGCTACTGCCCCCGCGACCCGACCCCAGATAAACGGCTAAAAATGGATGGATGGAATAAAGAGAATGTATTGAATGCAAATACAAATCTTTTAATGAACATCTGTGGTGTGTGTGTGTGTGTGTGTGTGTGTGTGTGTGTGTGTGTCAGATGCTAAAATTGTCATTATAAATTATATTTATCTGCAGTTTTCTAAATTTCATTTAAAACAGGCTGATGTATGTTTTCTTTCCTCTTTCTTTGTCCTGATCTTTGAGTAACCCTAACAGCATTTAACACAACAAATATGACCTCCCGGGCTCCCATACTCCTCTCACATTTCCTTCCTGGCAGTTTGAAATCTTTTCTCTTTCAGACAATTTTTGGCTGCAGATCAAACGACGAGATCTGACAGATAAAGCTGCTGGTAGTAAAGGTAGCATCAGATCACAGCATGGTCACTTTTAGGTGTGTTAAACGGGATTATAGCAGATTAGCTACTTTTGGGTTGGGTCCTTTTCCTCTGATCTTTACCAAAGAAGGAGTGAAGAGCTGAGGAGGGAGAAACTAAGTTTACAGTAACAGTTCTGTTTTTAAAAAATATATAAACGCAATGATTTTTTTTTGTGAGAAAAATCATAGAAGAAAGTGTTTTTCCTGCAGAAGAAACCTGCCTCCAGCATCTCAGCTTTCGACGCAGGAAAATGGTTTTCCGGAAGACCCGTTAGGTTCTGGACGCAGAGCCAATAAGACCCAACCGAGAGCGCTTGTAAATTCCTGGTTGAGGAGGTCATTGTTTATTGGTCTTTAAGGGTTTGGCTCGTGCTTTTCCTGTCTATTTTTTTCCTTAGCGTCTCGTCTCCCTCTATTCTTTTAAAGCTGCGCAGCCTCTGCGCATTTTCACCTCCAGCCCGAACCCAGCGGACGCATCTGGCGCAGAAGGGATCAGCTTTGTAAGGTGGGTTAGTCCAGCTGCTGCTTTTATTAAGCTGCTTCAGAGACCAAGAGAAGAGTTTTCACTGAGTTTACCGTGTCCACTTTAGCTATCTTCATCCGATGGACCTTATTTTTTAGTCAGACCCAAAGGGAAATGTGCATTTTTAGCGCAACAGGTGGTGCACTCTTGGCGCAGCCTATAAACGTTTCACTCAAACTGATTCCAATCACTCTCAGGAATGTAATTTTTCCTTAATTCATTGTTTGAGGGGTGCAATGTAAAACGCTCACTTCTATTACAGCTTTGGTGATGAAAGTTGTTTTCTCGTGGATGGGCTGAAATTGAGCTTCAGTCTGACAACTTCAGCTCAAACAGGAAGCTGCATGGCTGTTGTGAAAAACTGATTTTTATTAAAAACCAAATAATGCATGCTGATAACTGTTTCATCAGGAATATGCAGAGCCTGAAGGTACTTTGTGTGGGCTACTAAAACATGCATCTCCTCCCATCTTGTTTGAGCAGCTGCCAAACCAAATGCATGATGTCATTTAAAGAACTTAATGCTATGTTTCTTTTTCTGGCACCCTCTGTGGTTCCAGTATGACTTCACCAGCCTTTGAACTCATACAGTCTTTGTACTTGAATATGTGATGGATTAACTCGGTTCAAGCTTGAGAAAGCCACTTTTAAAACAAATAGGTCCCTGCCGTAGTTTGTGCACCAATGCATGAACTAAATAAGTAACAAACATTAATTCCTTGCAGAAGACTGTTTTATTTAGTAAAGCTTCTCTGTGATGTTTTTATTGCCTATATGAGGTCTCCTTTCCATCACTGGACCTGTAGCAAGAGATCCAGCAGGCCTCAGTGCTAGCAGTTTATTCAGTCAGATGGATGCTTCTGTTCAGAAGTCTCATCCCTCTTTTTTTATTGTAAACTGAGCAGAGAGGATGAAGGAACGGAGGGTGTGCCTCAGTGCCAAAGTTGATGAAACATATGCAGCTGTGTTCTCACCAGACTCCTAAATAGGCAATGCTATCTCTCTCTCTCTCTCTCTCTCTCTCTCTCTCTCTCTCTCTCTCTCTCTCTCTCTCTCTCTCTCTCTCTCTCTCTCTCTCTCTCTCTCTCTCTCTCTCTCTCTCTCTCTCTCTCTCTCTCTCTCTCTCTGTGTGTGTGTGTGTGTGTGTGTGTGTGTGTGTGTGTGTGTTGAGAGAAGGCAAAACGCCTCACTGCTGTCCCCTTCAGCCACTGGAAAACTCAAGCTGAATTATGCATGAGTACTTGAGAAATACATGTGAATAAAAAAAAGTCATGCATATTCACTAAAAAATAATGAAATGTTTATTGTATGGCTGCTCTCGCGGTCTGCCTGTATCTGTCCTGTCTATATGTGTCTATACTGTGCTAATTTTTAGTGCCAGAAAAACTAAAGCAATTAAATCAAATCAAATCACTTTTATTATCACGTCACATGTGCAGGTACACTGGTACTGTACATGCGAGTGAAATTCTTGTGTGCGAGCTTCACAGCAACAGAGTTGTGCAAAAATACAGTAATGTAAAAACATGTAAAATATAAAAATGGCTAATCTAAATATACAAATGAATAAAGTAAACAATAAGATAAGAGATATAAATATACAGATTATATCATGTACTTTAGTAAAATAATAATGAAACTGTGTAAATATCAAAATAACCCCCTTGCACATGCCTACATGCAATCTGAAATGTTTACTTTTCATTTTCACCAGCTGTCTCATAAAATAGTGAATTTCCTCCTGCAGACTCATTCATTTCACACCTGGGGCAAAAAGTACCTCTGAGCTGCAGCTGAACAGCCAAGCCAATCATGTTTGGTTGCTAGGGAAAACTGGAGAATTGTTAGCCAAGCAGCATCAAAGGATATATTGTTTCTGGGGTGCTGGACAAGCTAGCTAGCGTGCTACAAGGTAGCAGGATATCTACTTGAATTTTTATGTTGTGTTACTACCACATACTGGGGTAGTTGAGTATTGTGCTATGATGTGGGCATTGTTTAAACAGATGATTAATTCACACTTGAGCTGTTGGACACCGAAATCTGAGGCAGAAAAACAAACTAATGTCACAATAAAATGTGAATAATGACAAGATTTAACATGGACTGCAGTTGTTCATAAAGGTATACACAGTAGGCTTGTATATTTATTTCAGTATCATTATAGTCTAAGGGTAAATTGCTTTCTCCCGGTCAGGGATGAAGTCCTGCCCCAAGTGGAGGAGTTAAAGTATGTTGAGACCTTGTTTATGAGTGAGGGAAAGCTGGAACATGAGATCGACAGGCAGATTGGTGCTGCGTCTACAGCGGTGTTGGTGTTGTACTCATCTGTCGTGGTGAAGAGAGAGCTGAGCCAGAAGGCAACGCTCTTGATTTAACAGTCAATCTATGTTCCTACTCTCACCTATATGGTCACGAGCTTTGGGTAGTGACCGACAGAACAAGATCGCGGGTACAAGCGGCCAAAATGAATTTTCTCTGCAGGGTGGCTGGGCTCTCTCTTAGAGACAGGGTGAGAAGCTCTGTCATCCGGGAGGGGCTCGGAGTAGACCCGCTGCTCGTCCACATTGAGAGGAGCCAGTTGAGGTGGCTCGGGCGTCTGATTAGGACGCCTCCCTGATGAGGTTTTCTGGGCACGTCCAACCGGGACGAGGCCTAAAGGGAGACCCAGGACATGCTGGAGGGACTATGTCCTCTCACATGGCCAGGGAACGCCTTGGGATTCTTTGGGAAGAGCTGGCTCAAATGGCTGGGGAGAGTGAAGTCTGGGCTTCTCAATTTAGGCTACTGCCCCCGCAACCCAACTCTGGATAATATATATGTGTGTGTGCGTGTGTGTTTGTATACAAAATAAATTATTAATATTATTACTATCAATAAAACATATCAGATGATGTCATTATTAAGCTATCACAGCACTTATACATATTGGTGGATCAGATTAGTCTAAATTGTTTTTACAACTAAACCTTGCTGTCACGGGTTAAATATTTAAAGTTGTCCTAAACTCTGACTGGGCTCTTGGTTGGGTTAAAGATAACAAATCTTAGGACATAGTCTCATGATTTTTAAATATGTTGATAAGAAGAGAGAACTCTAAGAATAACTTCAGGAATGAGAAATTGTGTGTGCTTTGGCCAGCAGACAGACTAAACAGCATAGCTAATGAGCACAGAGCTGTAAGTCTGTAATAAACAGCAAAAGACTGATTCAATTACAAACATGCACTTCCCAAATTCAATCTGATGGGAGAAAAAAGGAAGGGGAAAGTGTTGAAAAAAACGATTTCCCTCTAAGACATTTCTTCTGTTTTTGCTTTTGTTTTAATCAAACCTAAATATTTCATATCAGCAAACAGTATCAAACAAAGATAACCCAATAAAAATCCTCATTTATCAATAAAAGCTAAGCTACTTAATCAAATGTGCCTCTTTATAAAAAAGTTAATAATACCTATAGTGTTGTTTTTTAAGTCAACAGAGCTTTAGGTTTTGGAACTCTCCCATTGAAAACAAGGAGGACTGGTTAGCTTTATTTCCCTTAATACATCAAATGATCATTGCCAGATTTTGTTTTGACTCAGATTATTTTTAAAATATTTATATAGTTATGGAGACGATAAACATTTAGGAATGGCAAAAACCTTTAAAGGGTGTCAATACTTTTTCAGAGCACAACTGGACCACCAGTTATTATCTTTGTCCTGCAGAGAGAATAAAAGCAGTGGAGCATAAACATTACATCATAAGGTTTTATTCATCTATAAACACAAAAGTGTGACTTTTTTGTTGCACCCCTTTGTGCACTGAAAAAAGAAACCTCAGGTAACCATAACTAATTTGAACTTCATGGCATTTTCTGTCATTAATCAGATTCTGGACTTGCTTTGATTTCTTTACTGTGAAATATGGCTCTACATATCAGCAGAAAGAGTGGACTCTTTATGTTTGAGCCCCAAATTGAAGTTCACTGCAACCTATACTGAGGTGTGTGTGTGTGTGTGTGTGCGCACGCGTGTGTGTGTGTGTGTGTGCGCACGTGTGTGTGCGTGTGAGTGTGTGTGTTTGTGTGTGATGAGTCACTTTTCCCCTGACAGAGATAATGCAGCTCAGACTGTTTGCCCATGAACCAGATTTGGAGGGTGACTGAGACTCGTGGTGATCCAGGGGTGAGAGGTCACCCTGAGAAACGAGCTCATTGACACATAGACAAATCTTTGGTTGCTGCTGGCAACAACAGTGAGGTTGGCTGTTTATTTCAGTCCCCTCTTAGCGATTTGATCTCATATTGTCAGGAAGATACAGACAAGATATTTTTTGTTTCTCAGGAAACTTCTAATCTGCTTGAAGAAAAAAGTTGGCTCATGGGCTGGAGGCAAGGCTTAAAATCCATGATTTGCATTTGCAGCAGTTATTTTAAAAGGTGATGATTCACTGATGGCAGGAGAAGAGAGGGTTCTTCATATTAGCTGTTATGTGCATCAGATCAGTAGATTCAGGGAGGAAGTATCATGATCTCTTTAGAATAGACTACATCAACATGTAGCACTCTGTAAACAGAAAGCTAACAATAGATGTGTTCTGATGCATAAAAGACTACTAAAAATGTGTAATCAAAGTCTTATGTTTTTGGAGGGTTCTATGGAAATGTTCTGAATTTTTTTTTATCATTTCATTTGAAAACTGTTGCTGTCCAAAAACTGCCTCAGTTGAAATGATAAGATCTTCTATGTATTACATGCCAGTCTCTTCCTGCAAAACCCATGCTACATGAAGATAATAAACATAAATTCAGACTGGATGACATAGAAAGACCTGAAACTGAAGAACAGAATGGATGAGCATAAACTATATCTGACATTAGTAAATGTGGAACAAGAGAATAATCTAATGGAAGTAATAAAACTAGGCGAATGAGAGATTCTCTGATGTAACACCGACCAGAAAGTACTCTCAGAAGGTATTTGTTGGCAGGGAGTTGTG